CCATCTGGGTGGTTCCGTCTCCCTGCGGCGAGGGGGAGCGGTCCGGAAGTCCATCCTCAGGAGTGCATGATCTGACCATGACAAGGGCTCTATGACTATCTCCCCCATTTCCAGATCATTTTGCCACTGGCCAGAGACAAAAATCAGATCCAGTGTGTGACCTCCTATGTGAGTGGGTGCATGAACTAATTGGGTCAAGACATTTGTTAAGTGAGTTTTGCCTCATTTTAGGACCTTTCCTGCCACAGTTGTTAATTGAATCACTGCAGTTGATTAAGTTAGTAACACGGTTGTTAAGTAAATCTGGCTTCCCCATTGATTTTGCTTGTCAAAGGATTGCAAAAGGTGATTATGTGACCCCGAGACACTGCAACAGTCATAAATATGAACCAGTTGCCAAGCATCTGAATTTTGTTCACATAAGCTTAGGGATGCTACAAAGGTCGCAAGTGTGAAAAATGGTCATAAAGGCATTTGTTTCAGTGCCGTTGTAACTTTGAACGGTCACTAAATGAACTGTTGTAAGTCGAGAACTACCTGTATTGTGCACTACTAGAAAGAAGGGAAAAAATGGCAAATCGCAGAAATGGGTTCTGTAGAACAAAATTCATTAATACCATATAGTTTCTGAAAAATTAAAGACACGCTAGTTTTCTTTCTTAAATCTGCTGTGTTAGGACCAAGCTATAAGTGTGTTTTTGAGTTTGGTATTGCTTGTATCGACCAAATGTTTGTGTAACGAACAGTTGGAGTGGAATAATAGCCTTTGCCAAATTGGAAACATACAGAGAGGGAAGTCTTTGCCCTTTCCACAGCTTGGATTGGACTCAGATCTTGTGTGGGAACAAATCTCCCATTAGTTCCAACAACAATATTTCTCTTTTTGGCTAGAAAAAAAAAATCATGTTGCAATCCTTTGCGTGTTATCTGGGGGAATAAGGTAAATAGAACATAGCAAACATACCTTTAAGTAAACATCCATGCATAGGATTTGTTTGGATAACATTTTTTTTTTATTTTTCAAATACCATAATTAAAGTTAAGCAGACCAAGGAATTTTTAAAAATTATTTTCATGGAGCATCAACATTTATGAAGATGCATATTTGTTTATATAAATAATGTGATTTTTTTTAGGTGAAAACAATGGACAGTCAAAGGGAGAAGGAAAGAAAAATGATGGAGATTTACGCAAAGTTACAATAGTTGGGACTGGAGATCTGGGCCTTGCATGTATTTTGGCTATTTCAGCAAAGGTATGCACTTTATACAGAGTTACTGCTATGCTCATTTCTTTAATACATTTTTATTGTAATAAAATAATTGGGGGAGGGGAATACTTGAGACCATATTCACAGAATATGTTCTCCATAAAAGTCTTTTAAATTATGGCTGGTGGTAATTACTTTATTAGAGATGGATAGTGCATTCCTAGGTATGTTTATTAAGAAAACATTATTTTCTCACTGCAGAATGTTTTTGTAGGATAAATTGTTGCATTAGGTACCAGGGTTCAACGGAAAGTAATACTGCCAATGTTATAGGTCAGTGGTGGCGAACCTATGGCACGGGTGCCAGAGGTGGCAATCAGAGCCCTCTCTGTGGGCACGCCCACCATCGCCCCAGTCCTAGGCCTTCAGCTGGGTTTTATAAAACCCTTTCGCTTTAGGTCTCCGCTGCCATGTGCAAAAAAAAAAAAAGGTTCAATCAGTCAATTGCAACTTCTCGCAGGAAAAAAAATCTTGCAAAGTTGGAATTGATTGATTGAACTTTTTAGTCCACCCAGTCTGCCGTTACCACCGCAGCCACGCCCACCCAATGGGCCACACCCACCCGGCACCCCACGATGCATAAGTGGGTTTGGGGTTGCAGTTTGGGCACTCGGTCTCTAAAAGGTTCGCCATCACTGTTATAGGTCACCAACAGATGGCAGTACAGATGCTAGAAGTTTTGACATGTTCTTTAGCATTTGTTCCATTTTAGTTTATGGGATGTCACTGTGAGAAAAAATTGCGTTTCTATAGTTCATGAAAGTGCTTGTCAGTGTGCTCTAAGTAATCATAATTTAATGTTTGACTACCAAAAGAGTCCCTCTAGTCTAAATTTACTGTTGAATACAAGGTGTTCATAGTGATGATTGCGTTGACATGAGTACTGTATATGTCTGGGCCACAAAATGCAAACATGGTGAATGGGAAGAGCTGATTTGTGTGATCACGTGGATAACCATCAAATGAGAAAGGTTGATGAATTGATTAAGGACAATTAGAATTACACAAAAGGAAATTGCTGTCATGCTTGCATTTCCCAGGAATGTGTGGGTCGCATTATTAATTTTTTTCAATACCAGAGGTTTGTGCAATATACTGTAGGTTCCTTATTTACTGATGAAAGCTTCAAATGTTGAAATTTGCCAGTAATCGTGTTAAGCTATGAGAATAGAAGTGAGGAATTTCTTCATGGCATTATCAAAGGCAAGAAAACATGAGCTCATTGTTATGATCCTGAAACAAAGTATCTGTTATGATCCTGGTGGTCAAGGCAAGGCAAGCCTCTAGAGTAGGGGTAGGCAACCTTGGCTCTTTTATGACTCGTGGACTTCAACTCCCAGAATGGTGGCTCAGGAATTCTGGGAGTTGAAGTCCACGAGTCATAAAAGAGCCAAGGTTGCCTAACCTTACTCTAGAGAATATTTTATTTATCTCAACAAATGGTCCACCAAATGGCCCTCCAATGACTGGTAAGCTTCCACCCCCATGCTACCACGAAGGCAGCCACCCTCAGTCCCCCAGCATCGCCTCAGCCCTGGCCTCTCCAAACATGTGAGGAGAGGCATGCCATTCCTGTTGGATGGTCCCAGTTCCAACTACTCCTCCTCCTCTGGCCCAGGCTCCAATGGGGCCATGACAGTGTCAATCCATGGAATATCATCACAAAGATTCATCCGTGAGGGGAAAAACATTCAAAACCCAAGTTTTGGTATGAAACTTGTGATTACAGTCTTTTGGTATTATTCACATGGATTTCCGTGAACCTGTCACCATTATTATCGTTGCAACACTCCAGACATTGAAAGAACAGTTAAGTGGAGTTCAGAAACTCAAGAAGGGAAGTTTTTTGCAACATGACAACTCTAAGCCTCACACCTCACTAGTCACTAAAGAGGCAATTGCAAAGGTAATTCTCACTCTCATACACAATCCGACATGCAGTCCGAACTTGGTGCCGTGCAACTTCACCTTTTCCCAAAATTGAAGAAATACTTTTATGGACATGTGTTTGATTCAAATGGAAAGAACTGTCAGGATCTAGTTGAATGAAGTTCTTTTGTGACAACTTTAAAAAACGTGTCCAGAAGTGTGTAATGAATACTGGTGATAATGTGGACAAGTAGGTAAAGGTAACTAAAGATCTCATTTCGAGTTTGTTTTTATGTTCCTTGTATTAAAATATCTCTATTTAAACTAAATTTATAAAAGTAGAGGCATTACCTTTAATTCAACTATCTTATCTTCGAAGTATCATTGATATTGAGGTTTATTTATTTAAAATAGAAATTAGACACAAGGCATTTCATTAGTAGTCGAACAGAGGTCTCCAACCTTTCTGGGCTCATGGCCCGGAGGGAAGGAGAGCAGCTTTGCAAACTGGCGAGCGCACGCTTGCGCACGTAAACCGGGCCACATGGCACTAGCGGCCCTGTTCGCGCATGCGTGTATGCTCTAGCACCATGTGCATGTGTGAACGGCTAGGCACACCCTCCCCCATGGTGGCTAGCGGCCCCATTCACGCATGCGCAAATGGGCGACGCACACCCCTGGTGCTAGCAGCCCTGTTTGTGCATGTGCAAACAGGCCATGGACACCCGCCTGGTGCTAGCAGCCCCATTCACGCCGTGGGCACTAGTGTGAGTGGGGGGAGTGCACGCGGGCACGCACTGGCTAGCCATTCTCATGGCCCACTGGTCAAGAGGCCATGGCCTGGTAGTGGGCCACAGCCCATAGATTGGGGACCCCTATAGTAGAAGACTTGAGAGCTATTAAATAGATTGGCTTGCCTCAAAAGATAGTCTCATTCTTCAATGCAGTTTTTTACTTTAAATTCTTTAAAAAATATTGAAAATGGAGGAGTTTTAAAAACAGATTGTGATGCACCTTACTGGTCTATGGAGGAAAAAGCTTAACATTTCTGTAGTATGAATGTGTGATTAATATGTCACAGTTCTAGCATGTTCAAGAAAGGAAGGATTATTGCAAGGAATCAGTATTACAGTAAGTAGATATGTATTGATATTTGATTGGTTATATGCCTTCCAAACCAGGATAGTTTATTTTATTTGGCTTTCATTTGACATCCCAGTCACATATACACAAGGGGAATGAAATGTTTGATTTATGGAATATCTAATTACTTTAAGTAAGTTTGTATAGGAAACTAACTGATCTTCTCTAAACTTGCTCTTATGTAAACATGTTGATGCTTCAAGTACATGTTTCGTAGTAGTAAAAAATAAATAGAATTCAGGCAAATAGGCGTATCCTGAATTATGCCTGGTCTGTTTTAATCTTCTTCAAACAAATGTTCATACAAAAACAAAAAGACTGATGGCTTAATGATACTATCATTAATTTATATACAAATAAATGATATTTAAAAGGATGTCATCTTGTTCTTGATCCAATTTTTAAATACGTGGTTTTGTTGCCAATGCTTAAAAGGTGCTTTTACTGCAGACATTTTTTTCATCTAATCTCAGAATAAATACTTCTGAACTCATTAGATGCGTTAGGATTTCATTTTTAACCTTTTTAGTTTTAGTTAGACGTTGATATTTTAAAAAATAGCTGCTTAACTTTTTGAACTGTTGTTCTTGTTGGATTGAATCCCACAGAATTCTTCTCAGAAGACAATTTATAGTTGCTTTGATGAAAAATATTTTTTTTCTTTCTTTTGAATCAATTTAGGATGTTGCTGACAAGGTGGTTGTTTTGGACTGCTCGGAAGCTACAGTGAAAGGAGGAACAATGGACCTAGAAATCTTTGACTTGCCAAAGGTGGAAATTAGTCGAGGTAGTGTTACAGTATATAGCAGTGATGGCGAACCTTTTAGAGACCGAGTGCCCAAACTGCAACCCAAAACCCACTTATGTATTGTTGGGTGCCGAGTGGGCGTGGCCCATTGGGTGGGCGTGACTGCGGTGGTAACAGCAAACTGGGTGGGACTAAAAAGTTCAATCAATCAATTCCAACTTTGAAGATCTTTTTTTTTCCCGCGAGAAGTTGAAATTGATTGATTGAACCTAAAGCGAAAAGGTTTTATAAAACTGAGCTGAAAGCCCAGGACTGGGGCGATGGCACGTGTGCCCACAGAGAGGGCTCTGCGTGCCACCTGTGGCACGCATGCCATAGGTTCGCCACCACGGGTATATAGTGTCCTCTAGCAATATTGCAAACTGAAGTATGCACCTGCTCGGCAGGGTGCAAACATTTTTGGAAGCTTCTTTCACATCAGTGCTTCAGTCTTGCGCATAGATTGTGCTGTGTGGATAATCCTACATACATGTAAAATGGTTAATGTACTTATCCCAGAGCTCAGCAAATACAGACAAAGCATATTCAGTTAATTACATATATGAAATATTAATGTGTGCTATATTCTTCCTGAGATTTCTATCTGCAATCCAAAAAGGGCAGAATGTAGCCAGGGTTATGTATAAAGAGACATTACTACATAATAAAACTAAATTCTCTATGGCTTTTTGCCATTAGTTCAACTTCAGTAGTATTAGTAAAAAAAATTCCTCTATTAACTATATAAGCGGGAAGTGGCTGGAAGTGATATGTTTGCCTATTTATCTCAAGTCAGGGAAATGGGCCATTACCATTGATTTAATTTTTTTTAAAAAAAAATTTCATTCTTGAAAATAAGATATATTCAATAATGGGTGGCAATTCTTTATATTTCTGTAGATTTTTCTGTGTCAGCGGACTCAAAATTGGTGGTGTTTACAGTTAATTCTTTAGGCAATGCTCAATCCTACCTGGAGGTTGTTCAGAGCAATGTGGAATTGTTCAGAGGCCTTATTCCATCAATAGCTCATTATAGTCAACACAGTGTACTGCTTGTTGCTTCTCAACCAGGTACTGTATGGCAAAGATTAATATAATTTTATGAGGTTTCAATCACAAGATATGATATACAATTGATATTAATTTTTTTTGACATCATCTTAATGAGGATTAGGAGATATGTTATTTTGTCATAATTCTCAATCATAAAATAACTGTATCAAGCATTAGGTCATTTTTTTAAAAAAAAAATTCTGGTTTTATTTTGTTCTACATAATGAACTGGTTATTGGGGATTTCCTTTTAGGCAATTTAAAAACTTCGGTGGGTTTTTCTCATTCCAAATATTGTATAAAGGCTGTGTGTTTTGTTGTATGATTCAACTCCATTGCTTATCTCCAAACAGCAAGGTAGTAACAGGATTACAAATCTTTTAAAATAACAAAACTACACAAACACAAGCAGGGAAATAAAGAACAGAAACATGGCATACCATTTACAAAAAAAAATCAGCCTAATTTGTTAACACCTTAACTATATTGGTATAATCATTCTTTCTGTTGTGTTCATATACCAAAAGTGAACACTGACAATCCAAGACTGTAAAGATGGGGTTGTACTATTTTTCTAACATTGAAGAGTAATATTTTGCTGCTTTCCATGCTTGATAAATCCATAAATCCATATTACTTGTAGTCAGTTTTGGTTTTGGTACATGCAGTTTAGTACGTGCAGTTCAATTCACATATTTAAATCATGCTGATCTTTGTAATATTATATTAAAAACCTAAGGGTATTAAGCCAAAATAAAAATAATAGGATAAGCCCATATCTCATCAATAAATGTTTTTTTTACCATTTTTGTACTTACAGCCAGTCTTTTCAAATATTTTCTGGGTGTTTAATATTGTAAAGATGGAACTTTTTTCAGTTTGCCTCATATTAAGAAACATAATATTTTTTGAGACTGCCTAATTTATTTGAAGGGCTCACTGAAATCAGGGGATGGCACCAATTCTGATTTGAAGGAAGGCATCCGCAGAATAGGGAAGGAATTTTTTTTTGATGTTGAATGGAATTTTGGAAACCCTAAAAATTTATTTACATAATTATGTAAATTCTGGAAAGAATAATTTAAAAATGCAATACTATAGGAACAGATCTTGCTATCTGGAACCTAACTAGGACCAATTACCACGAGCTCTATTCAGATCATCCATAGAAGGAAGTATATAGATATATAGAGTGTTGGTGTGCATACAAAAGGAGCAGGGCTTTAATTGCATCATTGTAACGAAACATACTGACTTTTTGACTCCCTATGGATGTTGTTGACTCTGCTAAGCATATATTGTTGTGCTTGCTTTGGTCTGTGTGTGCAGACGTTTGGGTCAATGTTGACTCTCCGTGACTGCCTGCATATGTTCCTACAGTTTCTTGGCAAGATTTTGGAAGAGGTTTTACATTGCTTTTTTTTTTGCTTGCTATTGTAGAGGAATATAATAAAAAATGACCTCCCCCCCCAAATAACAAAAGCAATGGACAAAACATATATTTGCTGTTTTCCAAATTATATGAGAATGATCTAATAGTTGACATAAGGACTGCATTAGCTTCTCAGAGGTCTCCAAGGAGACTCTCTCTCCAGTTCTGAGTTCAATAGAAGACTCCAATCTGTAGCTCAGGGTGGAGTCCTAGCTGTTCTCTGAGCTTGGTTGCTTGTTTGTAGACATTTCATTACTTGTCTAGGTACTATCATCAATGCTGGGGAGAGATTTTGTTTGCTCCCTGTTTAGTTTGCAGAGTCTCATCTGTGTTTTAAAGGAGAATGGGTGAAGATAAACCTCAATAGTTTGTGTTATCCAGAGTCTGATAAATAATACTAAACCTAGCCCTTTCACATCTTTTCTCCAACACAATCTAATCTTTAATGTGATTAAAGCTTTCATTATGCAGGAAACCCTGACCTTTTATTAATATCCTGCAGCTGTTCACAGAGAAATAGTAAAACCTCTGATTTCTCAGCAATCATATAAATGAATAGATGTATGTGCTTACTGTATGGTAGTGGTTCTCAACCTTTTTAATGCCGCAACCCCAACCGGTTGTAAGTCGAGGACTTTCCCTGCCCGGGAGTGCTGCGCATGCGTGGTTCTGCCCCCTGCGCCGGCCGAGGCGTAGCTGGCAAGCGGCAGAGACGGAGCAGGCCGACCACCAGCTGGCCCAGCCCAAGGGAGGTAAGGCACCCGCTGGAAAAGGGGAAAAAAATGGCGGACAAAAAAAATGGCGGACAAAAAATGGCGGACAGCCTTGCTTGGCAACCCCCATGAAATGGTCGATCGACCCCAAATGGGGTCCCGACCCACAGGTTGAGAACCACTGCTGTATGGCAACCCATTCCACTTCCCTGTAATCCCAAACAGTTGCCCAAACAACTGTGTAGTTTTTCTTCAGCTTAAAAATGGAATTTAAATACAAACGTTGTTAAAGATCAGTAATATTTACAGGACACTTTATGCCATTATTTTATATTGATTTAAAATATAATTGTCTCATTTTCTTAATATGTTTTTAACACAAGTACAGTAGAAATAATGACCTATGTGTCGTGGAAGCTGAGTGGATTTCCTAAAAGCAGAGTTATTGGAATTGGTTGCAATTTGGATTCAGCAAGATTCCAATATGTTGTTACAAATCTGTTGAAAGCCCAAAGCAAAAGTAAAGACAATTGGATTATTGGTGAACAAGGAGAAAACAAAGGTAAAATTGTGAACTACTGTATCACTTAGGAATCTACTTCTTAGATTTTTTTTCCTTTTTGAATTAGAACATAAATGAGCTCTTTTATATTTGTTTGAGAAAACACTGAAATTTATTTATTTATTTATTTATTTATTTATTATTTAGATTTATATCCCGCCCTTCTCCCGTAGGACTCAGGGCGGCGGACAATCAATTAAAATACACAAATAACAATACAGATTTAAAATTAATTAAAAGGAATATTAGAGAATTGTCCAATTTAAAATATTGATTAAAACCCCTCTAAAAATTACCCTAGGCCAGTCCTGCGAGCTGGAATAACCAAGTCTTGANAGGAAGTTTATTCCCACCCCAAATCAAACTACCCTACTCATGGGATCTCCCTGGGCTTGTTATCATCTTAAACTGAATTTACAACAAATATCACCCAGTAATTATCAAGTCGGCAAATCAGTTTTCAGTATCAAAAGTTAAAAATTTAACACATGTCCAATAGTAAATACTCACTGGATAACAAATCTACAACTCATATGTAACATGTGCTGCACTGTCTCTTCAGAAGAGTAGAGTTTTAACTCTCTTCCTGGAAAAATCAAAAGGAGTTAAGGAGCAACTTTAACTTGGGGAAGGGGGACGGCAAAGCATTTCAAAGGATGGGCACTGATTTTCCATCCATGTCATGAAGGGTTGTGGACTCTTTCTCTCTGCTAGTTGAGATGAGAACCATAATATACATGGAATCTTTGCTAAATACATTTTTATTTTGTATTTTGATAGGTAACACTTATAATATTCCAATTTGCATATGGATTTTGGATTCTTATCCTTTTACTCCACCTATTTGTTTTCTAAAACCTACTTCTAACATGGGAATTTCTGTAGGAAAACATGTGGATGTCCGCGGAAGGATTTATTTGCCATATCTACAAGCCTGGAGCCATGTAAGAATTAGATAAATGCATTACATAAAGTTATTAAAGTTATTATTACAATTTATATAAAGGTAATATACCTTACCTTTGTACCTCTTAGTAGCATCTATCATTTTCCACATATAATGATATACATAAATATTTGCAATATAAGATAAAATACAATTGATCTGAATACAAAATAATTATCTTTATACACTTAGAATGGATGGTAGTATTAGGTTTTCAGGTTCCTTATCAACAAAGTCAAGTCAACCAATCTTACTCAGGAGTGGATGAAGATTTCATCCCCAAGCATGTCTTTTTTTAATCTACCCATCTATTCTTTTTTATTTGATTTTTATTTTACTACCATTTAACCAACTGTCAGCAGGTTACAAATACAACAAAATAAAAATACAGAAATACAGAAAAGGACTAAAACTCATAAAACATACAATACGAAAGTGGTGTCACAACTCAGATGCCTCTGGAAGAACGTGGTGTCCAGCAGCTTCCAAAAAGTGAAGAAGGCAGGAGTAGATTTAAAAGTGCTGAAGAAGCTTCTTGGATGAGAAGCAAAACATCTTCAAAAGAAAAACAAGAAAATCCAAATATCTAAATTTAGTTTAGATATCTAAAGGGCTATCTTAAAATTTTACTAGAAAGTGTTTGTAAATGATATATCTGTTATATAAATAAATTCTAATTTGTCCTGTATTTATTACAGCCACAGTCAGAAATTATAGGGTTGTTAAAGGAAATGAGCATAAAATTTGAAGAAGAACTTCCCTTACATGCATTATCATCTTCTGATGAAGTCAGACAGATGGACCTACTTTCTTATATAACCAAAATTGTTGAAGGTATTCATCTTTCCTGGAAACTTCTTATCTGGAATTCATGTGCATAATTCATAATATCTTGGTAATTTTGTTTTGTATTTTCCTGGAAGAGTCCAAATCAGTAAGTTATTACATTATAGCAGCAAAGGATCAGGTGTATTCAACCAATGGCCAAAGGGTTGCACAAGACCCTGGACAGCTAGTAATATTGCCCTAAAACAGTGATGGCGAACCTTTTAGAGACCGAGTGCCCAAACGGCAACCCAAAACCCACTTATGCATCGTCGGGTGCCGGGTGGGCGTGGCCCATTGGGTGGGCGTGGCCCATTGAGTGGGCGTGGGTGTGGTGGTAACGGCAGACTGGGTGGGACTAAAAAGTTCAATCAATCAATTCCAACTTTGCAAGATCTTTTTTTTCCCCGCGAGAAGTTGAAATTGACTGATTGATTGAACCTTTTTTTTTCCACGCGGCGGCGGAGGCCTAAAGCGAAAAGGTTTTATAAAACTCAGCTGAAGGCCTAGGACTGGGGCGACGGCTCGCGTGCCCAGAGAGAGGGCTCTGAGTGCCGCCTCTGCCATCACTGCCCTAAAAGATCATAACTATTAATATTATGTGATATGTAGTGATAGTTATATACATCTTAACTATATTTATATGCAGCCCAAAACCATTCTTTTTCACTCAAGGCAGCCCAGGCAAGCCAAAAGGTTGGACATGCCAGTTCTAGAACAAATTTGGCACAGTGGAAAGTCTTTCTTTTATTAGACTTTGGTCCTTTTAGTGTGAACTGGAAATAGTTAATCAAGGAATCCAAGGACTCTGAGTTACTACTGGTATATTTATTAGAAGGAAATTTTAAGATACACAAGAAATCCAGCAAATACTTTCAAATGAGATACCTATGTATAGGCAATCTTTTGAAAGTGTGGCAATCTGTATTTTTTCATTGTTACGGTAATTCCTATTTTTTATCTCCGTGAAAAATATCTCAAAGGCTTCTTTTGGTCCAACTTCTTCTCTCCATTATCAAGCTACTACTGAGCCAGCACTTATGAATGCACTGTCCAGTGTCAGGCAGGAAAAGGACATTTAGAGAGTTTGTGGATGGCATGTAGGATGGTTGGTGTTCTCTATAAGGTATTTTAAAGGCAATGTGAATGTAATCACATAAATAGGATGATGGACACTGAGCATCAAAAGCTTGTTGGTTACTGCACCAAAGTTTATAATTGAGCTGCCCAATTTCTTTATTACTAGAGTTACTAATTCATTTTGATGGGTTCCCTCGGTATCTAAAGGTTCAAAGGCAGGCAGAGCTTTGGCATATGTATAATGTTTTATGCATAAGGGTGTAGAGTTGATTCACTCCCGTGCCTGTTCAGTTTCTCTGCCTGTAATGAAACTGTATGGTGTAACACCTCAGAAAATTCATCTGAAAAAATATGCTAATTTAGGAATAGAAATCCCAGTACAAGGTAGTCCTTGACCTACAACCACAACTGAGCCCAAAATTCCTGTTGTTAAGTGAGACATTTGTTAAGTGAGTTTTGCCTCATTTTAGGACCTTTCCTGCCACAGTTGTTAATTGAATCACTGCAGTTGATTAAGTTAGTAACACGGTTGTTAAGTAAATCTGGCTTCCCCATTGATTTTGCTTGTCAAAGGATTGCAAAAGGTGATTATGTGACCCCGAGACACTGCAACAGTCATAAATATGAACCAGTTGCCAAGCATCTGACTTTTGATCACATAAGCATAGGGATGCTACAAAGGTCGCAAGTGTGAAAAATGGTCATAAAGGCATTTGTTTCAGTGCCGTTGTAACTTTGAACGGTCACTAAATGAACTGTTGTAAGTCGAGAACTACCTGTATTGTGCACTACTAGAAAGAAGGGAAAAAATGGCAAATCGTAGAAATGGGTTCTGTAGAACAAACTTCATTAATGCCATATAGTTTCTGAAAAATTAAAGACACGCTAGTTTCCTTTCTTAAATCTGCTGTGTCTAGGACCAAGCTATAAGTGTGTTTTTGAGTTTGGTATTGCTTGTATCGACCAAATGTTTGTGTAACGAACAGTTGGAGTGGAATAATAGCCTTTGCCAAATCGGAAACATACAGAGAGGGAAGTCTTTGCCCTTTCCACAGCTTGGATTGGAATCAGATCTTGTGTGGGAACAAATCTCCCATTAGTTCCAACAACAATATTTCTCTTTTTGACTGGAAAAAAAAATCATGTTGCAATCCTTTGCGTGTTATCTGGGGGAATAAGGTAAATAGAACATAGCAAACATACCTTTAAGTAAACATCCATGCATAGGATTTGTTTGGATAACATTTTTTTTTATTTTTCAAATACCATAATTAAAGTTAAGCAGACCAAGGAATTTTTAAAAATTATTTTCATGGAGCATCAGCATTTATGAAGATGCATATTTGTTTATATAAATAACGTGATTTTTTTTTTTTAGGCGAAAACAATGGACAGTCAAAGGGAGAAGGAAAGAAAAATGATGGAGATTTACGCAAAGTTACAATAGTTGGGGCTGGAGATCTGGGCCTTGCATGTATTTTGGCTATTTCAGCAAAGGTATGCACTTTATACAGAGTTACTGCTATGCTCGTTTCTTTAATACATTTTTATTGTAATAAAATAATTGGGGGAGGGGAATACTTGAGACCATATTCACAGAATATGTTCTCCATAAAAGTCTTTTAAATTATGGCTGGTGGTAATTACTTTATTAGAGATGGATAGTGCATTCCTAGGTATGTTTATTAAGAAAACATTATTTTCTCACTGCAGAATGTTTTTGTAGGATAAATTGTTGCATTAGGTACCAGGGTTCAACGGAAAGTAATACCGCCAATGTTATAGGTCAGTGGTGGCGAACCTATGGCACGGGTGCCAGAGGTGGCACTCAGAGCCCTCTCTGTGGGCACGCGCGCCATCGCCCCAGTCCTAGGCCTTCAGCTGGGTTTTACAAAACCCTTTCACTTTAGGCCTCCGCTGCCATGTGCAAAAAAAAAAAAAGGTTCAATCAATCAATCAATTGCAACTTCTTGCGGGAAAAAAAATCTTGCAAAGTTGGAATTGATTGATTGAACTTTTTAGTCCCACCCAGTCTGCCGTTACCACTGCAGCCATGCCCACCCAATGGGCCACGCCCACCCAATGGGCCACACCCACCCGGCACCCCACGATGCATAAGTGGGTTTGGGGTTGCAGTTTGGGCACTCGGTCTCTAAAAGGTTCGCCATCACTGTTATAGGTCACCAACAGATGGCAGTACAGATATGCTAGAAGTTTTGACATGTTCTTTAGCATTTGTTCCACTTTAGTTTATGGGATGTCACTGTGAGAAAAAATTGCGTTTCTATAGTTCATGAAAGTGCTTGTCAGTGTGCTCTAAGTAATCATAATTTAATGTTTGACTACCAAAAGAGTCCCTCTAGTTTAAATTTACTGTTGAATACAAGGTGTTCATAATGATGATTGCGTTGACATGAGTACTGTATATGTCTGGGCCACAAAATGCAAACATGGTGAATGGGAAGAGCTGATTTGTGTGATCACGTGGATAACAGTAACCATCAAATGAGAAAGGTTGGTGAATCGATTAAGGACAATTAGAGAATTACCCAAAAGGAAATTGCTGTCATGCTTGTATTTCCCAGGAATGTGTGGGTCGCATTATTAATTTTTTTCAATACCAGAGGTTTGTGCAATATACTGTAGGTTCCTTATTTACTGATGAAAGCTTCAAATGTTGAAATTTGCCAATAATCGTGTTAAGCTATGAGAATAGAAGTGAGGAATTTCTTCAGGGCATTATCAAAGGCAAGAAAACATGAGCTCATTGTTATGATCTTGAAACAAAGTGTCTGTTATGACCCTGGTGGTCAAGGCAAGGCAAGCCTCTAGAGTAGGGGTAGGCAACCTTGGCTCTTTTATGACTCGTGGACTTCAACTCCCAGAATTCCTGAGCCAGCATAGCTGCTAGCAATTATGCAACCCTTTGGCCGTGGGTTGAATACTCCTGATCCAGATCCTATGCTTTGCTGCTATAATGTAATAACTTATTGATTTGGACTCTTCCAGGAAAATACAAAACAAAATTACCAAAATATTATGAATTATGCACATGAATTCCAGATAAGCATAGCTGGCTCAGGAATTCTGGGAGTTGAAGTCCACAAGTCATAAAAGAGCCAAAGTTGCCTACCCCTGCTCTAGAGAGTCTTTTATTTATCTCAACAAATGGTCCAGCAAATGGCCCTCCAACGACTGGTAAGCCTCCACCCCCATGCTACCATGAATGCAGCCACCCTCAGTCCCCCAGCATCGCCCTCAGCCCCTGGCCTCTCCAAACATGTGAAGGGAGGCATGCCATTCTTGTTGGATGGTCCCAATTCCAACTCCTCCTCCTCCGACCCTGGGTCCAATGGGGCCATGACAGTGTCAATCCATGGAATATCATCACAAAGATTCATCCGTGAGGGGAAAAACATTCCAAACCCAAGTTTTGGTATGAAACTCGTGATTACAGTCTTTTGGTATTATTCACATGGATTTCCGTGAACCTGTCACCATTATTATCGTTGCAACACTCCAGACATTGAAAGAACAGTTAAGTGGAGTTCAGAAACTCAAGAAGGGAAGTTTTTTGCAACATGACAACTCTAGGCCTCACACCTCACTAGTCACTAAAGAGGCAATTGCAAAGGTAATTCTCACTCTCATACACAATCCGACATGCAGTCCGAACTTGGTGCTGTGCAACTTCACCTTTTCCCAAAATTGAAGAAATACTTTTATGGACATGTGTTTGATTCAAATGGAAAGAACTGTCAGGATCTAGTTGAATGAAGTTCTTTTGTGACAACTTTAAAAAACGTGTCCAGAAGTGTGTAATGAATACTGGTGATAATGTGGACAAGTAGGTAAGGGTAACTAAAGATCTCATTTCGAGTTTGTTTTTATGTTCCTTGTATTAAAATATCTCTATTTAAACTAAATTTATGAAAGTAGAGGCATTATCTTTAATTCAACTATCTTGTCTTCGAAGTATCATTGATATTGAGGTTTATTTATTTAAAATAGAAATTAGACACAAGGCATTTCATTAGTAGTCGAACAGAGGTCTCCAACCTTTCTGGGCTCATGGCCCGGAGGGAAGGAGAGCAGCTTTGCAAATTGGCGAGAGCACGCTTGCGCACGTAAACCGGGCCACACGGCACTAGCATCCCTGTTCGCGCATGCGTGTACGCTCTAGCACCATGTGCATGTGCGAACGGCTAGGCACACCCTCCCCCATGGTGGCTAGCAGCCCCATTCACACATGCGCAAATGGGCCACGCACACCCCTGGTGCTAGCAGCCCTGTTTGTGCATGTGCAAACAGGCCATGGACACCCGCTTGGTGCTAGCAGCCCCATTCACGCCGTGGGCACTAGCGTGAGTGGGGGGGAGTGCACGCGGGCACACACTAGCCAGCCATTCTCATGGCCCACTGGTCAAGAGGCCATGGCCTGGTAGTGGGCCACAGACCATAGATTGGGGACCCCTGTAGTAGAAAACTTGAGAGCTATTAAATAGATTGGCTTGCCTCAAAAGATAGTCTCATTCTTCAATGCAGTTTTTTACTTTAAATTCTTTAAAAAATATTGAAAATGGAGTTTTAAAAACAGATTGTGATGCACCTTACTGGTCTATGGAGGAAAAAGCTTAACATTTCTGTAGTATGAATGTGTGATTAATATGTCACAGTTCTAGCATGTTCAAGAAAGGAAGGATTATTGGAAGGAATCAGTATTACAGTAAGTAGATATGTATTGATGTTTGATTGGTTATATGCCTTCCAAAACAGGATAGTTTATTTTATTTGGCTTTCATTTGACATCCCAGTCACATATACACAAGGGGAATGAAATGTTTGATTTATGGAATATCTAATTACTTTAAGTAAGTTTGTATAGGAAACTAACTGATCTTCTCTAAACTTGCTCTTATGTAAACATGTTGATGCTTCAAGTACATGTTTCGTAGTAGTAAAAAATAAATAGAATTCAGGCAAATAGGCGTATCCTGAATTATGCCTGGTCTGTTTTAATCTTCTTCAAACAAATGTTCATACAAAAACAAAAAGACTGATGGCTTAATGATACTATCATTAATTTATATACAAATAAATAATATTTAAAAGGATGTCATCTTGTTCTTGATCCAATTTTTAAATACGTGGTTTTGTTGCCAATGCTTAAAAGGTGCTTTTACTGCAGACATTTTTTTCATCTAATCTCAGAATAAATACTTCTGAACTCATTAGATGCATTAGGATTTCATTTTTAACCTTCTTTTTAGTTTTAGTTAGACGTTGATATTTTAAAAAATAGCTGCTTAACTTTTTGAACTGTTGTTCTTGTTGGACTGAATCCCACAGAATTCTTCTCAGAAGACAATTCATAGTTGCTTTGATGAAAAATATTTTTTTCTTTCTTTTGAATCAATTTAGGATGTTGCTGACAAGGTGGTTGTTTTGGACTGCTCAGAAGCTACAGTGAGAGGAGGAACAATGGACCTAGAAATCTTTGACTTGCCAAAGGTGGAAATTAGTCGAGGTAGTGTTACAGAATATAGTGTCCTCTAGCACAGGGCTTTTCAACCTTTTCACCCATTGTACCACTTTTAGGATATGGCAACATCCGAGTACCACCAGTCGCCTAGCAAGGTGTCAAAAACTTGATGACCAAAAAAAAAAAAAAAAGGAAAAAGTGATAAAGTACTGGTAGTCCTCGACTTACAACAGTTCACTTAGTGACTGTTCGAAGTTACAATGGCACTGAAAAAGTGCCCCCCAAGCCACAGCCGAGCAAGACACCTGCCCGCCCGCCTGGCTGCGCTCTTCCTCCTGTCCAAGGTTTTCATTGTTGTGAGCATTTCTGTTGAGGATTGGCAGTGGGGGTGGGGTGGGGGGCGTTTGGTTTTTATTCCCCCCGTCTGTTGGGTGGTTGCAGCAGGTTTTGGTCACTTCACATGACCCTGGGACACTGTGACCGTCATAAATATGAATCAGTTGCCAATCATCTGAATGTAAATCACAAGACCCTGGAGATGTTGCAACATTCCAGCTGATCGGCGCTTCTTCTGGGCTCAGCAGAAGCGCCAGGATCAGTGCTGCTTTCCAGCTGATTGGTGCTTCTTCAGGGCTCAGCAGAAACACCAGGATCAGCGCCGAGCTCTAGCTGGAGCCTGGTGCTGATCCTGGTGCTTCCGCTGAGCCCTGACAGCCCTGCAGCTCCAGCCATCTCTCGCTCAGGCTTGTGCGGTGCTGCCACCAGTTCAGCTCATTCTCCTCCCCCGCTACCACTTTTCTAGGATGGTCGCATACCACCTGCCAGGTGCCAATGTACCACAGATGGTACCCGTACCACTGGTTGAAAAGCCCTGCTCTAGCAATATTGCAAACTGAAGTATGCACCTGCTTGGCAGGGTGCAAACATTTTTGGAAGCTTCTTTCACATCAGTGCTTCAGTCTTGCACATAGATTGTACTGTGCGGATAATCCTACATACATGTAAAATGGTTAATGTACTTATCCCAGAGCTCAGCAAATACAGACAAAGCATATTCAGTTAATTACATATATGAAATATTAATGTGTGCTATATTCTTCCTGAGATTTCTATCTGCAATCCAAAAAGGGAAGAATGTAGCCAGGGTTATGTATAAAGAGACATTACTACATAATAAAACTAAATTCTCTATGGCTTTTTGCCATTAGTTCAACTTCAGTAGTATTAGTAAAAAAATCCTCTATTAACTATATAAGCGGGAAGTGGCTGGAAGTGATATGTTTGCCTATTTATCTCAAGTCAGGAAAATGGGCCATGTATTATCATCCATTTAATTTTTTTTTTTTAAAAATGTCATTCTTGAAAATAAGATATATTCAACAATGGATGGCAATTCTTTATATTTCTGTAGATTTTTCTGTGTCAGCGGACTCAAAATTGGTGGTGCTTACAGTTAATTCTTTAGGCAATGCTCAATCCTATCTGGAGGTTGTACAAAGCAATGTGGAATTGTTCAGAGGCCTTATTCCATCAATAGCTCATTATAGTCAACACAGTGTACTGCTTGTTGCTTCTCAACCAGGTACTGTATGGCAAAGGTTAATATAATTTTATGAGGTTTCAATCACAAGATATGATGTACAATTGATATTAATTTTTTTTGACATCATCTTAATGAGGATTAGGAGATATATTATTTTGTCATAATTCTCAACCATAAAATAACTGTATCAAGCATTAGGTCATTTTTTAAAAAAAAAAAATCTTCTGGTTGTTTTATTTTGTTCTACATAATGAACTGGTTATTGGGGATTTCCTTTTAGGCAATTTAAAAACTTCGGTGGGTTTTTCTCATTCCAAATATTGTATAAAGGTTGTGTGATTTGTTGCATGATTCAACTCCATTGCTTATCTCCAAACAGCAAGGTAGTAACAGGATTACAAATCTTTTAAAATAACAAAACTACACAAACACAAGGAGGGAAATAAAGAACAGAAACATGGCATACCATTTACAAAAAAATCAGCTAATTTGTTAACATCTTAACTATATTGATATAATCATTCTTTCTGTTGTGTTCATATACCAAAAGTGAACACTGACAATCCAAGACTGTAAAGATGGGGTTGTGCTATTTTTCTAACATTGAAGAGTAATATTTTTGCTGCTTTCCATGCTTGATAAATCCATAAATCCATATTACTTGTAGTCAGTCATCAGTTTCGGGTTTGGTACATGCAGTTTAGTACATGCAGTTCAATTCGCATATTCAAATCATGCTGATCTTTGTAATATTATATTAAAAACCTAAGGGTATTAAGCCAAAATAAAACAATAATAGGATAAGCCCACATCTCATCAATAAATGTGTTTTTTTTACCATTTTTGTACTTACAGCCAGTCTTTTCAAATATTTTCTGGGTGTTTAATATTGTAAAGATGGAACTTTTTTCAGTTTGCCTCATATTAAGAAACATAATATTTTTTGAGACTGCCTAATTTATTTGAAGGGCTTACTGAAATCAGGGGGTGGCACCAATTCTGATTTGAAGGAAGGCATCAGCAGAATAGGGAAGGAATTTTTTTTTGATGTTGAATAGAATTTTGGAAACCCTAAAAATTTATTTACATAATTATGTAAATTCTGGAAAGAATAATTTTAAAATGCAATACTATAGGAACAGATCTTGCTTAACTAGGACCAATTACCATGAGCTCTATTCAGGTCATCCATAGAAGGAAGTATATAGATATATAGAGTGTTGGTGTGCATACAAAAGGAGCAGGGCTTTAATTGCATCGTTGTAACGAAACATACTGAGTTTTTGACTCCCTATGGATGTTGTTGGCTCTGCTTTGGTCTGTGTGTGCAGACGTTTGGGTCAATGTTGATTCTCCGTGACTGCCTGCATATGTTCCTACAGTTTCTTGGCAAGATTTTGGAAGAGGTTTTACATTGCTTTTTTTTTGCTTGCTATTGTAGAGGAATATAATTAAAAATGACCTCCCCCCCAAATAACAAAAGCAATGGACAAAACATATATTTGCTGTTTTCCAAATTATATGAGATACATCTAATAGTTGACATAAGGACTGCATTAGCTTCTCAGAGGTCTCCAAGGAGACACTCTCTCCAGTTCTGAGTTCAATAGAAGACTTCAATCTGTAGCTCAGGGTGGAGTCCTAGCTGTTCTCTGAGCTTGGTTGCTTGTTTGTAGACATTTCATTACTTGTTTAGGTACTATCATCAGTGCTGGGGAGAGATTTTGTTTGCTCCCTGTTTAGTTTGCAGAGTCTCATCTGTGTTTTAAAGGAGAATGGGTGAAGATAAACCTCAATAGTTTGTGTTATCCAGAGTCTGATAAATAATACTAAACTTAGCCCTTTCACATCTTTTCTCCAACACAATCTAATCTTTAATGTGATTAAAGCTTTCATTATGCAGGAAACCCTGACCTTTTATTAATATCCTGCAGCTGTTCACAGAGAAATAGTAAAACCTCTGATTCCTCAGCAATAATATAAATGAATAGATGTATGTGCTTACTGTATGGCAACCCATTCCACTTCCCTCTAATCCAGTGGTTCTCAACCTTTTTAATGCCGCGACCCCCAACCGGTCGTAAGTCGAGGACTAAACCGGTCGTAAGTTGAGGACTACCCAACCGGTCATAAGTCGAGGACTTTCCCTGCCCGGGAGCACCGCACATGCATGGTTCTGCCCCCTGCGCCGGCCGAGGCGTAGCTGGCAAGCGGCAGAGACGGAGCAGGCCGACCACCAGCTGGCCCAGCCCAAGGGAGGTAAGGCACCCGCCGGAAAAGGGGAAAAAAATGGCGGACAGCCTTGCTTGGCGATCCCCGTGAAATGGTCGATCGACCCCAAATGGGGTCGCGACCCATAGGTTGAGAACCGCTGCTCTAATCCCAAACAGTTGCCCAAACAACAGTGTAGTTTTTCTTCAGCTTAACAATGGAATTTAAATACAAAAGTTGTTAAAGATCAGTAATATTTACAGGACACTTTATGCCATTATTTTATATTGATTTAAAATATAATTGTCCCATTTTCTTAATATGTTTTTAACACAAGTACAGTAGAAATAATGACCTATGTGTCGTGGAAGCTGAGTGGATTTCCTAAAAGCAGAGTTATTGGAATTGGTTGCAATTTGGATTCAGCAAGATTCCAGTATGTTGTTACAAATCTGTTGAAAGCCCAAAGCAAAAGTAAAGACAATTGGATTATTGGTGAACAAGGAGAAAACAAAGGTAAAATTGTGAACTACTGTATGACTTAGGAATCTACTTCTTAGATTTTTTTTCCTTTTCGAATTAGAACATAAATGAGCTCTTTTATATTTGTTTGAGAAAACACTGAAATTTATGCTGAAGGTACAATTTTAAAAATGGAAAATGTTTCTTTTTGGAATATATTTTATTAATTTTTTAACAAGCATAAGTCACTCAATAATTGGTAAACAGTGTGTTGTCTGGGTTACATTTGTAAAGACACTCCTTAACAATTGATTTCTATAATCTGTATTCCATATATTAATTTTAGTTGATTTCCTCTTTCCCCAAAACATCCTTTTTTTGCAAACATTGAATTAATACAATTCTTATTGTTTTAGTAAATGACAATCAGGTATATACTTTTTCCAATATTCCTAAAAAATAATCATCATATTAGTATATTTCTTTTCTTTTCAGTCACTTGGGTTGCCTTATCATCAATCCTGTTACAATCCTTATTTTAGTTTATTTCTCCCAGCAAGTTTTAAATATTTTTACTGGTAAGGGTTTTCTCAACAATTAGTTACATTTACATTGACAGATTTAATTCTATTTTTTCCATATAAGCCTCTCACATTTTTACATTTCTTAAGTAATAGATAAAAGAGTAAAAAGAGAGGGGAGAAAAAGAAAAACGAAAAAGAAATAAAAAATAAAAAAAGAGAAGAAAACAGGAGCAACGAAACATAAAAAATAACATACTACTTGGAATATATATCCCTCCTAGATTAATATGTATTTATTTCCTCAAATTTCTTATTCTTTTTAATCATAGTTAAGAATATATTTAATCTTTAGACATTCCATTTAATAGATCTAGTCATCTAATCCCTTAACTCTGATTCAAAGCATTTTTATATACTTTTCTTAAATTCAATCACATTTAAGTATCTAAAACATTTCATCCCTCTTAGAGTGGTATATTCCAAAATTTTTCTATTTCTTTAACCATATTCAAACACATGTTTCTTTTTAAGCATTCTCTCTGATACGTCCAATCATCTATTTTCTTAGTTTCCATCTTAATCTTTTTTCTTTGCCCAGAATCTTTCTTAATCAATGTACTTTGCTGAATCAAAAGATTTTGCCATATGATCATAGGTGTTGCTGTAGATGTAGAGAGTAAATCAATGTCTCTGTCATGGGCATTTGCCCACCTCTTTTTATTAGGAATCCTTTTCCTTCCTTTTCTCTCCACTTCTTCTGTCACTTTTTGTCTCTTCATCCAATCCTTTCTCTTATCTTCAAATTTACTTTGTGGTGTTGAAATATAAGTTGTCTTTTCTTCCACTTGGATTAAATCATACTCTTTTATTTCATGGAAATAACGATGGACTTCCATGAAATAAAAATGGAAAATGTTAAAGTAGTCCTTGTTTAGTTATCACAATTGGGACTAGCAACGTGGTTATTAAACAAAGCCATCACTAAGTGGGAATTCATGTGACTGCAACTATGCTTTCATTTTCTTCACTTCTTCACCCTTTGGAATGCTCATCCTGGTGCTGGGATAATTAGCAAGAAGGAATTAATGTTTGTATTTACCTTCATTGGAGAGGAAGAGAATACAAGAGAGTAAACAGACACAGCACTGTTTAAACAATCTCTCCTGTGCCTGATCCATTTTTTCTCTCCTTCCTTCACAGAGTAAAGAGATTGGAGAGGAGGAGATTACAAGAGAGTAAAAGGCACGCAATGGAAAATACACTGGATGTTTGCCAGTGCATTCCTTTTGATGTGTATTCTCTTGCTTACTCTCTTATGATTCTTCCTTAATCTTTCTGCTCCTCAAGGGGGAAAAAGATAAACAATGGGTCAGGCACAAAATGACATATTCTGATTATAACAGTGATCACATGACTGAGGGACACTGCAAAGATTGTAAATACAGGATTGCAGTTATTTTTTCATCACCATTATGACTTCAAATGGTTGCTGCAAATGGGCAAGGCAACTGGTAAGCGAAGTCTACGAGTAAAACATTTGCCAACTTCTGCTTTAATTAATAGCTAATAAGAGAAATTAGAGGGAGTATTGTATCTCTATTAGCATGACATGATGGACTACAAAGTACGTAGGTTAAAAACAAAGTCATGTTATCTAACTATCCAAATGTTTGAAAAAGAAAATTAATTACAATTGTCTTATACAGTGGCAGCATGGAGTTCTAATTCAGTGATAAATCATCCTGGTGATAAGTTAACAAATGATCAACAGATATTGACTAACAGGTAAAACATCTATCCCTCTACCTATTTAGTAGCAAATGACACTTACTTTAATGAGATTTCTATATAAGTTGGTATAGAATTTTAGCCTAAATATAAATGTTCACTTGTATCTGAGTAGCAAAATCTATATTATTTAACTATAAAACATTTGTACTTGAGCATAACAACAGTTTTGGTGAAAATATGTGGTTATTAAAAAGAATATATTGCTTGCTAGAATAGTCTCTTTTAACTCTTAAAATGTATTTTTATATATATCTAGAGCCATGGAAATTCTGAAAGGAAAAGGCCAAAGGTCTTGGTCTGTTGGTCTGTCAATAGCTGATCTGACTGACACTATATTGAATGATAAAAGGAAAATACATTCTGTATCAACCACGGTGAAGGTAAGCAGGACACTGATTTTACTTTTGAAGTAGACTGAATATTAGTCTATAGATGATGAAAACCATAAGAAGAATGGAGAACAGATTATGAATCTAGAGGTCCCTTTGACTTTGGCTGGAGGATACCTGGCTAACCATTTCTTTTTGTCCTTCCTATCCCTTAGCAGAGGCCAGCTGATTTTGGGTTTCTCTGATCCAATGTGGAAATATTGTTTTCAACTTTCACCTGACAGAATATTTGCTATTTTCATGGTTTGTGTTGCTACAGCGGCCATCATGGCAGCACCAGGAATTAGTCCAGCATCTTTTCATTCCAGGCGTCAAAGCTCCTCTTTGTTGGTTGCTGTCAGCTTCCTTCTACAGCTATATTTTTACTTTTTTAAAATACTTAATAAAGTTGAAAATACAATTCTATCACTTTTAACAGAATAAATTATATTTCTCAGCAATAAAGGTCAGACACTAACATGATCAGTCCTTTTGCTGGCTTACTTCAGTCATACCTTTTGATAACTAATATGGTTTAAAAAACCAATGTGATTTAAAGCAGAAAATGTTCATTTTTGTTTTTTGTGGTTTGTATGCTGTAAAGCACTTGAAATACCATATAAAAAGTGAGAGGCTTATATGGTATAAAATTCCAGACGATCACTAAGTAGGAGCAAAGAATTAGTTTCTCTACCTCTTTGCTGTCATCTAGTGTCAATCTGGGATTTTACAGCTCAGATAAAAACACATCTAAATTGTGCAATTACTTGCAAGCTGATTTAATCTTACAAGTATTCATGACTGGCATATGTAGAATTCAAGCCTGAAATGCCTTAAATTTGATATACCTTTGGTAAAATCCAGATACATATAAAAATATTATCAGGTACAAAAAAAAGATCCCCACAATATTATATTTGTCACTTCATAAAAATTCATACGGAACACATGAACCTTAGTCACCACATTAACTTTACTACTTCGGACACCTTCTTCTATTACATCAACTTTTTGAAGTTTGGTCACGACGTAGACAGTTACTGGAAGTTGTCGTTGACTTCGAGACTGATGGTCCCTTGGCAAGGTTTTTGTTCGTAAAATATTTGAGATTTGCAGAAAAAGTATTACCGACCAACTGGGTCCAACATCAAATTCTCACAGTATGGAAACTTCAGTGAATATTATTATATGGTAACTAAAGATAGATAAAAACAATTAGGTTAAGGAAGGTATTACTTCCTTGGCCATGACGTTACTTGTAATCATGAACTAGAGTACTGTACTTCTTTGCCTTTTCCTCATCATGTTGTGCCCTTCAATAGTACTATTCAAATGTTCTCTAAAGCAATTTTTTATTTTAATCAGAGGTGTTAGGCAGTCAGAGGTAATATAGATTGTTATTTCCCATACACTATTGATTGTATTCAGATAATATACAATTCTTAGAAAGAAGCAGCAGCATAGTTTTGTCTAAAATCAATGTTCACTATTCAACTGATATTTATGTTTTTTTAAAACATTTACACTGCCAAATCAGTCATCTGAAGTTGACATTATATTGCACAAATATTACTTTAGGCTCAATATGTCTAAATAGAGTTTTCAAAGTGTTCACTATGCAACTGATATTTTATGTTTTTAAAAAACATGTATACTACCAAACCAGTCATCTGAAGTTGACATTATATTGCACAAATATTACTTCAGGCTCAATATGTCTAAACAGAGTTTTCAAAGTGTTCTGTATAGATTCTAAAGTTTTATGGAAAAGTCTTGGATGAAGGCCGTTAAGAATATTAGCATATTACGTTGCTGCACTATTGACTACCAAGACGCAGAAGGAAAACAGGATTCTCTCTGTTTTAGGCATAGGATGTGCTTTGTTTATTGTCCTTTATCACATCCTAAAACTAAGGAGGTCCTACCAAAGTACTGTTTCTCTTGATTCATGCTCCTGGAAAACAACATATACATGCACTATTCATTATTATGCAGTAGTTAAGTTTTAATGCATTTGGCTGCTCAGTTCTAATATTGCACTAAGCTTTTAGCAGTACAAAAAGATTTGCTACGCTAAATCTAATAAAATGTTATTGTGTGATTATGTATGCCTATAATGATTTTTACCATTTTTGCTTATTTTTCTAAAAATTACAATATGGAAAAAACTTGTGAATGAGATATTAATAAAGCTAATGGTATCTGATGTACATCTTTTGCTTTACATTGTATGTGTCATGGTTCCGATAGATGAAACCCATCAAAAGAACTTCAAGGCAAAATTCTTCCTTAAAGAACATTTATTCGGGAAACAACGTATCGGCACTACATAGCTGAACCCAAAAACTGAATTCCCTTCCCCTGGATACAAAGTAACAAAGTACAATGCCCACCCCCAATAAACTCTCATAAAACACATTCCCCAATTAGCGTCAAGCACGGGCTTTCTCCTCAGCTCCTCAGCCTGCCAAAACGTTATCAGCTCGTCCTTGAGTTCCCACAGCAGCATTATTATTATGGCTAGCTGAGCTTACATCCCAACCTCCCCACCTGCTGCACCTGAATTCTAAAAGTAATAAAAGCATGTTAGAAGAGAAAATGGCTGCATTTTCATCAGAGCAGGAACATCCAATGTTAGCAGCGTTAACAGTATGATCTTCAGAGCTAAAGATTTAATGAGGAAGTGATGCACAATTTTATGGATGCATTACTGGTATTTGAATCAGCATTAACAATATCCTACAGAATTTCAGCACACAGGCTGAGTAACTTTGGGCCAGTTACTTTCCCTCAACACCCCAAAAAGAAGGAATTGGCAAGCCACTAATGAAAAATGTTGCCAAGAAAACTGCAGGGGGGTAATTGCCAGCTGATTTAAAGGCACTTTTTTTTAACAAAAAAAGGGCAGAAATAGCTGGGTGTGAAGCCACCTATCCTTATCTTAAAACAAATAACATTAATAAAGAGTAAGCACACTTGTGAATTTGACTTGGGATTAGTTGTGCTTGTTTATAATAATAACAATAATAAATTAAGTTTATATTTCTTTATCAGATTTATATAGCTGCCCATCTCACCAGAAGTGACTCTCGATGATTACAACATGAAAAAAAATGTGTAAGATATTCATTATAAAAATAAACAACCATTATTTTAAAAAGTTAAGAACCAGTAAAAATTAAAATGTATATAATACTCAATTCCCAGCAAATCTGGGTGGTTAAATGTATTTTAAATTAAATCCTTCCTACATAGCAATAATGGCTTCACTTAAAATTTGTACATTGTTCTTGGTGTTATTTATACCCCAACTTTGAGGAGTTAAAAGTGGCACCCTGTCCTCCATTTTTTTTCCCTTCAACCCTCTAAAATAGATTAAGTGTAGGAGAGACTGGCCAAGTTGTGTGTGGGGGGGAGAGAATCAAACAGGACTTAAGTCGAGAGGGTGAAGTCTGACAGACACACCCCTTGAATAGGTAGGTAGGTAGATGATTGATAGATAGATAGATAGATAGATAGATAGATAGATAGATAGATAGATAGATAGATAGATAGATAGATAGATAGATAGATAGATTTTTATTGTCATTTTTTACTGCGGGCACAATGGCACACATTAAAAATGAAATTTAGTTGCTTGCTCTCAAAGTGTACACATACATAACACACATTTAAACATACTATATACAACTTATGTATAGAATGCTGTTGAACCTTATCTAATCTCACCCAGGTGCAATCTGAAAAGATTCCTCTGTATAGGCCTGAGCAATAAAACTTAACTTTTCAAGTATGGGTCTGGTTGTTTGCACCCGACAATAGGTCAAGAGAATAGGACTGTCACTAATCAATCAGAATAGAGCTGGAAATAACCTTTTGAGGTCTTCTAGTCCAACCCCCTGCTCAAGCAGGAGACCCTATATGCACCATTTCAGACAAGTGGCTGTCCAGTCTCTTTTTAAAAATCTCCAGTGATGAAGCACCCACAACTTCTGAAGGCAAGCCTTTCCACTGCTTAATCGTTCTCACTGTTAGGAAGTTCACCGAATAGTTGTTGTTATTTTTTTAATTGAGGACTAGAATCTGACTCTTTCTGCTTTTAGTCACCCTTAGTGATTTTTTTTTAATTGAAAATTTTATAAAATTTTACAACATAAATCCCCCCCTTCCCCAACCCACCCTTCCACTCCCCCCTCCCTCCCCCCTCACTTCCCAGTGCCAATCACAGGGTTAACAATATAATAATCATACTCTAACATTAATCAACTATTAAAATAACATATCTATAACCTCCTTTAACTCTCTTTTAAACAAATATACCATTATTAACAACAATAACAATAACATCACTTTAATAATTAAAACTCTTAGTGATTAACATACCCCATTTCGATCCAGTTATCTACAACCCAGAACAGGCTGTACAATCGGACCGCCCGGCCATCCTCTCTATGATTTTGGCTTTGCAGAGGGGCTAAAACTCAAAACTCTATTACTATTCTCGCTGGTCGGCTGGGGGGGGGGGAGGCGGGGAACGAGAGAGAGAGAGAGAGAGAGAGAGAGAGAGACGCCGGAAGTGACGTTTCGCGGTATCGCCGAGCGGAAACGGATCGCGGAGGCTGTCGGAAGCGGAGCTCGGGAAGGCTCTTGTCCGTCCGGGAGTTAGAGTAGCGGGAGGAGGTCGTAGAGGTAGCACGACCAAGGGAGGGGCCGCCGCCACCACCTCCAGCATGGCCATGTCCGAGACTCAGCTGAAGAAAATGCTTGCTAAGGTAAACCGCCAGCCTGCTCCTGAACCGTCTTTCTCAAAGCAGCCTTGAGTCGGCTCAGCCCAGTCGCCCCCTTTGAAGGCCCGGCTTCTCTGCGGTAGACGGGAGATCCTTCCCAGGCGTTAGCCTTTCCCTTTTTTCTCACTTAACTGATAGTGCTTGCCGCTTCCTCGTCAGAGACCAGCTTTTGCACCAACAAATAAAAAGTGACTAAACTTTGGGCGCCTCACTTATTCCAACAGTCAGCTCTAAATTCAACACGAATAGCCACTGGCCTTTCTCTGCAACCCTTCGCTTGGTTTGCCTTTTCCAAGTTTTCAGTTAGTCTCCCCTTGTTTTGTTTTGTTTCCCTTTTTTCCCCCCCCAGAACTTATTTTCGATTATTTCTTGGACATTTGCTGCATAGTAGGGCTTAACTTAAATACAAGGAAGTAAGAATTAAACTTTTTAAAGAATTTTTCATGCATTTGAAAGGGAATTTGGGGTAAGAAGTGGTGCTTTTAGGCTTCTCTAACACTTTAATAAATACCTTTTTTTAAAATATCTGAGGGTTTCCCCCTGTTTTTGATTTTCTGCCTTTTGTGCGCACTCCCTGTCACCTGGATTTGGTAGCATATAAAAATCCTTATATGCCGCTTTGATGTAGGTTGAGAAGAGCAAATGACAATGCGTGCAAATGGCATCATCGTGCGAATGCTGCAACTCAATGAATGTTGTCGTTTTGGCATCATCTTGATTTGTTGTGGATGCTGCATCTTGAAGGGTTAGCAGAGAAATGTATCTAATGTGATTGTTACATATTTTATGTAGACAATGTTTTATCAATATTTTATAAAGGTTGTGGACGTTTTTGTAAACCACAAGGTAACAATATGGGTGTGTTTGCATACACATACTTATTTAATTCTGCTTGGTCCACAAATATAAGTTTAAGTGGTTTGAATATTGAGTGATATTGAGAAAACAGACTGACAGTTTTACTAGGAAATGGTATTTATAGTTTGCAGTCCATCTCCACAATCAGCTGATCTGTTCAATAATGATTAATAATTACTGCACACATACAGGTTTCTATATGTGTCTCTTTGTATATATAAAATAGATAAACTGTTTCTGATGTTATGGAAATACAACTCTCTGCTTATGTAGCAGGAGTTTTTCTTATTTTTATCCCCACATTTTCTTTCCTACAAATCCAAAGCAAAGAATGCAGGAAACGAGTAATAGGCTGAAGTGGTAGAAGCCATTCTCTATGTGGAATGGCACCATTGGATAATGCCCATATTTTTCCATCTTAAGAAATGGAAGTCTATGGTCCTCCAGGTATCTCCAGACTCCTTTTCCAGCACCATATAGGAATGAATAATGAGTGCTGGGAATTCTGCAACTTCTGGATTATCCTAAGCACTTAACTCTTTTTTACTTACATGTTATGTAATTTCAACATGCTTTGCCTCATGTTGATTCATTTAGAAAATGTCTTTACTTTCTGGACCTCCATATAAATAAAATCGAATAGGATCATTCTAATTTCAAATTTGTATCATGAGATACCATTATAACTGTCCCTGATAATCATGCTTGCTCTGCAATTCCTGTTGATTATCCAACAGAACAGTTTCACAGGTAAAAATGTTTAAGGGAAAGCTTGTTGTGATCATAGAACTTCATTTGTCATAACCTGAAATAGAAGATTCCAAACGCTGGAGTTGAAATTCTAGTGAGCTGATCTGTGGGCTTGCTGTTAGTGAGAAATGTTTTAAAATGTTATTTTTCTTTTCTCTAGTACAAGTACAGAGACCTGGCTGTTCAGGAAACTGTCAACGTTACTGGCCAGTACAAAGATCTCAAACCTGTTATGGATAACTATGGTAAATTGCTGTCTTCCGTATTTTTGCAATATGATTTTTCTTAACTTTCAACTACTTTATAGTAATATCTAGCCAGTTTATTGCATTGAGTAGAAATAGTTTTGCTGAGGCATTCCTCAGTTTAACAGCTACCCTGTTTAGCGACCCTTCAAAGTTAAAATTAGTTCTTGTCTTACAACCACAATTGGAATTGGGAAATTCATTGTTGAAGTCATGCAGTCACTAGGTGAGGCATCATGTGACTGCACCCAGTTTTATACCGGTTTTGCCGTTGTTAAGCGAATCACTGCAATTGCTAAGAAGGCAGGTTATCTTGATTTGCAACATTCCTCATTGACTTTGCTTGTTGGAGGCCAGACGGAAAAGCACAAATGACAATCATGTGACCCTAGGAGACTGCAGCCGTCGTAAATACATAACCAGTTGCCAAGATCTGAATTGCAGTCATGTGACCTTGGGGATATTGTGATAATAGTGAGAGGACTGGTGTTTTCAGCGCCATCATAACTTTGAAAAATCACTAAATGAATGCTCATAAGTCAAGAACTACTTGTACAACAGCGCTGAAAAAGTGACTTTAGAATTGGTCCTCAAACCTATGGCCATTGTGGCATCCCCTAGTCACATGATTGTCATTTGCGAGCTTCATAGCTGTCTTCCAATAAGCATAGTCAATGAGGAGCTACAATGAACTCACAAGTCTCAGTCACTTGATGATTCCCTTAATGACTGTGGGTGATTCTCTTAATAACCACAACAAAACGGACACTGTAAGTCAGGTATAATGGCATGATGTTTTACTTAACTATTGTATCACTTAGAATGGAGTTTCTGCTTCTGATTGTGGTTGTTAAATGAGGACTACCTGTACTGAAGAAGTGGAACAAGATTATGCGCTCACCTCATGATTATGGTATTTTAGTGAGTGATGTCAAGTCATGAAGCTAACACACAATCTTGTTTTGCTTTCTAATACTAGAAGTAGTCATTATTTCTACTAGTAGAAGTAGTCGCTCATTTGACAAAGAAAATATTCAAGTAAGGTAGAAAAAAATAATATATTCTTCATTTAGAGCAGTGGTTCCCAACCTTTTCTATACCCCACATCCCTAGAACACTTCTGTTGTGATTCCTCGCCAGCCAGTGGACCCGGCAGCTGAGTCTGGGGAATCGGAGGAGGAGGAGGAGGGGCCTGGAGTGACATCAGAGTCAGAGGAAGGCTCTGAGGAGCTCCAAGACTTAGAGTCTGACGAGGTGCCTGGTCCCTTTACTCGCACTCAGACTGAGTCACAGCTGTGCTGGGAGTCTAAGTTGGACAGTGGGGAACTCACAGCTGGAAGATATCCAGGATGCACGTAAACGCCACAAGAAAAGAGAGTCAGACAGAGGAATGCAATGGGGCGGCTCCAAAGGCAAAGGAGAAGGCTTTAGGAAGCCACGCCTTGGCTGCATAATAAAAGGGAAGGTGTGGGAGGTGCTGGTTGCTGAAGGCAACCATTTGTGTTAAGGAATCAAGTTTCTGTGAACTGTGTTTTGTTTGCCTTGGACATTTATTCAGGTCTGAAAATAATAAAAGGGGATTGGTTTTTTCCTGCGGTTCCAGCCTGCTTGTTGGAAGAGGGGTTTCTCCTTGTGAGCTTAACAAGGACTCACATAGGCTGGGACAGAACAGCTTCTGATATATTCTCGCACCCCTTACAAAAGTTCGAAATAACAGCAACAAATTATGCATATACACTATAATTTTGAAAACCCAAGTTTTTGCAGCCCCTGGAATATCATCTCGCACCCCTGGTTGTGAACCCCTGATTTAGAGCATATATTTCACTTGAAATCTTTTTTGAAAATTGCCATAACCTATTCATTTTTAAAAGAGTATAATTTTCTTGAGTTGCAGTATCTGACAAACTGCAGTTGCCATAGAATCCATAGTGAAAAATTTATGGCTATCTACGAAAGGCACAAATGGCATGCCAAACACTTTACACTGTACAGTGTTTATTTTCCTAGAAGATGCATGCTTATTTCTGGTCAGAATGAAGTGTTAATACTGAGTTGATATGCTTATTTTTGTTAATGTGCTCAATGTCTGTGATTTGTATGTTGAATAAATCGATGCTTCTTTTCAGTTTTTAATGATGGTTCATCAAGAGAATTGATGAGCCTCACTGGAACTATTCCTGTAAATTACAGAGGTATGTATGTATTTTGAACAGTTTGCATAGATTATTTGAAACCACTGTTTCTGTATAGGTAATCCTCGCTAATGATCAGTCACTTAGCAACTATTCAAAGTTACAGTCGGCTACCCCCCCAAAAAAGACAATATAACGCGGTTCTGCAGTTCTGACAGTCATGTGTGCGTGCATGCACTGCAGTCACGTGATAGCATTTCAGCACTAGGCAATTGGCTCACATTTACAGTCTTTTGCAGCGTCTTGAGTTTTGGCATTTTTGCCAGTTTCTGGCAAAAGATGCGCGTTGGTTAAAATAGATTGGTTTACTGACCACTGCAAAAAAAGGTAGTAAAACCCTGCTTAACATCTGCATGGCTTACAGTTGTAATTCTGGACTCAGTTATGATCATAAATCGAGGACTACCATAGTTAATTCATAAACTTTGTTCTTCATTCTGTAGCACTGTATTTAGTTTGTGCATTTTGGATACCTCTGTACATTGCTTTAAATCAGTCAGAACGGTGAAAGCAAAACGAAAACACAGACTTATTGCAATCTAAAAAATTACTATCTCAAAGCAAAACCATTTATAATTTCCTATCTCTTCTCATGCGGTTAGGTGGCATTACTTTGGAACAGAGCTGGCAAAGTCCAGGTAGATACAAGCCTCTTTAATATAACTATACAAGGCATTTGAATGAGATGGTTTGAAAACAAAGCTAGGCATCTGCCATACCCAAAGAAGGAGCTTCTCGTGTTTTTTCAAAAGATGGGGCTGACGGTGATTCAAAGATATATTATCTATGCTCCCAACTATTATGAAGCATCTCATTTGAATGTTTTGCATAACCTCTACATATCTGTCTGTTATGATGCTCACAGATACCAATATAATTAACAGTACAATAGCATTAAACTAGTTTAAATGTGTTACACTTCATTTAGCCACTAACATAGCAGAAGAAGCTCAATGACTTGGTGGAATCGGTGATGAGAAACGGCAGGAATTTTGAGTAGAACCCTATTACAAAGAAGTTTTGAGCTTTCATGGCACAGGGAAATCAGATTGCTTGTAATTGCTGGCATATTCTGCTGGTTGCTATGGTGAACTTCACTATATTGTTGCAGTTATTTCTGAATTCTGATCAGATAGATGTTGAGCACAGAATTTGTCAGCTTACCTGGGAGAGTTTGTTCATAATGTGCTATTAATCTGTATCAACTTTCTGCAACGATGAAGAGTATAAGAACACTTGGACCAGAGATTTCACTACTTCAGTTTTATAGGAGCAGGTTCTTATATAATAACTCTTATAAACCTTTTACAAGATAGCGGTGTATTGGATATCAAAACACAAAAGCAGAATACACTGCAGAATTTAGAAATCATAAACTCATCTGTGTACTTAGCTGGTTCAGAAATATTGTTTCCTAGAGGAATGAGAGCAGAAATTCTGCTGGGTTCAGCTTTACAGTCCATATCCAAGACATTTATCCTAAGCTCTGTCTTTGCTCACTCGTAGTCCAAGGAGCAGCCATTACTGCAGCAGTTTGATTTCTATTTGCTTTTCCCAGCAGGACTAATAATGCAAGTTTTAGAAGCCATGTGGAGAGTTAGTTAATAAAATGTGGTTCCGACAAATGAAACTCTTCAAAGATTCTTTACCTTAAAGAGTCTTTATTCGAGCAACATAGCATCGGCACATACATAAGCGAAGCCAAAATCTGGATTCCCCTTCCCTTAGCACATAGTATCAAAACACAATTCCCTCCTCTAATTAACAGTCATAAATCACATTTCTCCAATTAGTTTGAAATGTAGGCTTCCCCTCCTATTCTAAACCCGCCATTTCTTATCATCTCTTATTTCAAAAGCCCTGAATTCACACACTATTACAATATTGTTATGTCTAACTAACTCCCATCACATTCCTCCTCCTCCCCCAGTATCATCTAATTCTAAGAGTAAAGCATAAGAAAGAAAAAGGCTGCATCTCTATATGTTGTCAAAGCAAGAACATCCAAATGTTAGCAGCGTTGACATAAAGATAATAATTCAAATCCTGGTTTATAATATCCCTAATTGTTTAAAATTACTACTTTGATTCTTTGAATTTCCTAGAAAAAAGTCATTTTGTAAAGCTTGAAATTTTAAGGTGGGGGGAGGGTCCCAAAATTCTTAGCAAGTGTTTTGTACAAAATAGTATTATTCTCACTGCTTTTTAAAATCCTACTGGAGTCTGTGATAAAAACATAGTATCATTGTCGTAATGCTAATATTGCTGAATGCTTATTTGCTAATTTTGAGGGATGATGTTAATACTTATATATTACTAAAAGTCCCTTGGCTGTTTGTAACCTTCAATCGGGCAAAACTGTGCATCATAGAGCACAAGTTTTTGAGCCAGGATCTCTCAAATGGGCTAACTTACAGAATGCCAGATCCAATTAGTCCCATGAGAGTGAGTGTGGCCAATTGAAGGAGAAGCACCAGCTGGGTCAGGGAGGGTGCAAGGGGATCTGTGTGGTGTTGTGCAGGTTGGGGAGGGTATGTGAGGATTTTTGTATGGATCAGGAAGAGTATGGGAGAGGTGCCATGAGGGTTGACGAGATTTGGATTGAAATATCAGTATCAAGACTGAACATGTTTTAAATAATCTCAATCTCCCGGAACATTCCCTGGCTTCAGACAACTGATCAGCAGAAAATAGATGACAATATGGGCAAGTTACATCCAATCAGATTGGATAAAAAAAAATTACCCATGTATTATTCATAGAAATTGACCTCCTGGGATATGTTAGATGTGGCTATCTGTTCCAAATTTGCGTGACTATCTCCAAAGTTAGCTATGTCATAGGCTGCTGCTGCTGTTACCAATTATAACAATTCCAGTTTTCAGGGACATGTTTACAAAAGACATTAGGAGCTATTCCTTTGATTCTCTACGAGCAATTTGATGCAGGTTCAATGTTTAAATAGAAGTTTACTCTTCCAGAACAGGTTGCATGCTTACACCTACCTTTCCAGAACTCCCAGCCAGCCTCTGTATTGTGTGTAAATAACATTTTTTCCCTTCTCATTTTCATCCATTCTACACTAGCTCCTCAAAAACTTTAGCTCTTCATCATTTGTCTGGAATAGATAATGGAAAGTGGGGAGGGGTAGCGAACATCTAAAATTTTTGTTTTGGTTTCTGAGGGCTGAGGAGGATTCGAAGATTCAGTGTGGTAAAATGCAAATAAACTCACTAGTATTAAAAGCAGACAAAATTGAGGAGGATTGTTATATGCAGTGTAACTAAGTATCAGATGCTTGGGATAATGGACTTGCTTTCATAATACCTTGTTTATTAATTTCCAGAGCATGTTGTATGTGCTTATAAAAATACTTCAGTTTTGTGTCTCAAAACCATTCCTATGCACTTAAATATAGTAACAGATATGCCACCTCAGTAATTTATCATGGTACCATTTATTATCAACAAGGAAATAGAACATTATTTTTTAAAATCTCTTTAGGCAACATATACAATATCCCGATATGTCTGTGGCTATTGGATACATATCCATTCAATCCCCCAATCTGTTTCGTTAAGCCAACTAGTTCGATGACGATTAAAACTGGGAAACATGTTGATGCAAATGGCAGGATATATCTTCCTTATCTACATGAATGGAAACATGTAAGTATAATTTTAAGATTTTTAAGCTTTAATCATAAACCATTTTGAGATATAAATATTAATTTCATTTCATATTCCTCTGGCTATTGAATATAATGGGAAACTGAACTTGGACACTTGGGGCTCAGTTGAATATAATATTAGAATCTTACAAAGTTTAAATATTAAAAGTTTTGCGTTGTTTCCTTTGGTGTTATTAAGAATTGCAACTGAAATAACCATTGATGTTGCCTATAATTAGTATAATTTATTGGTGTGAATTCACAGTGTCATGAAGCATGTTCCCAGTGGTATGTTATTTTTTAAAATTTTGACAGCTTCCGTTAATTGAATGACTAAGGTGAATGAAACTTTAACATAGAAGAAAAGGATAACCAGCTAATTTTCAGCAACTGGTGAGATGATGAATCTGTTGAGCAACCAAACTATTTTTGTAGAAGAAAAAAAATAACTGTCTTCTCTGCTTTAACTTCCAGCCACAATCAGATTTGATAGGACTGATTCAAGTTATGATTGTGGTGTTTGGAGAGGAACCTCCTGTCTTTTCTCGACCAACCATTTCAGCTTCCTATCCGCCTTACCAAGCAACAGGGCCACCAAACAGTAAGGATCTTACAGCCATTATAATATGTGAATAACTGTGGGCGTAAACATGTATTTTTGGGTTGTTTCTCTGAAAGAGTCCTGCTATTATGACATTGTATTTCAGTTATTACAGAATGACAACAGTTGCAAGAATTATTGTCATAATTTTAATTGTTACAATAGAGCCAATTTTGGCCTAATGGCTAAAGTACCAAGCTAGCAAGGGATGGGCTGCACCTCACAAAAACAGGGAAAAATGTACTCGGAAAAGAAAAAACTGGCCCAACTCACTAGAAGGGCTTTAAACTAAAATTGGGGGGGGGGAGAGTGACCAATCTTTAGAATCTCTAGAACACAAAAGCAATCATAAATCCCAAGAAAACAAACAATGAGGTAGGGAGTGATGAGAAAAAAGAAAAACTCAAACAGCGTAGGAGATGCAGGAAACATACTCATGGACAGGCATAAAAGTTTTAAATGCTTATATACTAATGCTCAAAGCTTTGGGAACAAACAGGGTGACTAGAAGCAATAGTACACGAGGGTAGGCATGATATACCATTACAGAACACTGGTGGGATGAAACCCATGACTGGAATGTACTGATGGATGGATACAAATTGTTCAAAAACAAATCTACAAAAAGAGAAGGTGGAGTTGCACTATATGTAAGAGATCATTACATATCTACAGAAATGCTCATGATCAAAGTAAAACCCCTCTACAATGTATATGGGTCAATATAAAAGGAAAAAAGAGTGACATTGCCATAGGTATATATTACAGGCCACCCAACCAATCAGAAGAATAGAATAATATAGAATAGAATAGAATAGGACCTTGGAGATCTTCTAATCCAACCCCGTGCTCAAGCAGGAGTACCTATACCATTTCAGACAAGTGACTGTCTAGTCTCTTCTTAATAATGTCTAGTGATGGAGTGCCCACGATTTCTGAAGGCAATCTGTTCCTAACCCTAACTCTGCAGCAAGTGGGAGATCAAACCTAACCAACCTAGCCAATAACTTTGTCATCCAAAAGGTAGAGGAGAGAACTAGAAGAAAAACTATACTGGACCTAATTCTTACTAATAGAGAAGAAGTAATAGAGGGAGTTGAAGATGCCGAAACCTTGGGGAAAGTGACCATGTCATAGTGGAATTAAATATAATGCAAACACAAGCAATAGAACATAATCCAATCAGTGTCTTAAACTTTAAAAGAGCTGATTTTAACAAACTCAGAGAAACCCTAGGAAAGATTCCATGGATGAAAATTCTAAAGGGGAAAATAAGTCAAGAAGCGTGGGAACTCTGAAAAATGCAATCATAAAAGCCCAGTCCAGCACTGAAAAAGAAAAACAAAAAAAACCCCAGAAGAAACCCAGCATAGTTGCACAAAGATCTCTCTGATAAACTGAAAGACAAAAAGGACAAGTTCAAAAAATGAAAAGAGGGACACATAACTAAGGCAGAATATCAGCAAAGACGAAGTCAGGAAAGCAAAGGCTCAGAATAAACAAAGACTTGCAACAAAAGTCAAAGAAAGGTTTCTTTCAACATATTAATAACAAAAAAAAGTCAAGGAAACAGTTAGTCCACTAAAGAGAGAAGATGGCAAGGAAGTAACAGGCAGTAGAGAGAAAATAGAGCTGCTTAACTCATTCTTTGCATCAGTCTTCATGCAAAAAGAAACTATAGCCCAAACTACCCAAAAAACTATTGTAAAAGACAGCCTAGAAATAAAAATTAAAATAAGCAAGAAAAGGGTAAAAGGACACCTATCTAATCACGGGGACCTGACAGATTACATCCCAGAGTTCTGAAGGAGTTGGTAGATGTTATCTCAGAACAATTGTACCATATCTTTCAAAAATCCTAGAGCATGGGGGAGCACCTGAGGATTGGAAAAAGACTGATGTGGTTCCCATCTTCAAGAAAGGAAAAAAAATAGACCCAGGAAACTACAGACCAATCAGTCTAACATCAATATCTGAGAAGATCCTGGAAAAGATAATAAAAAAACAGATCTGCAAACATCTAGAAACACAGTTATAACTAGTAGTCAGTACGGGTCTGTTAAAAACAGATCATGCCAAACCAATCTTATTTCATTCTTTGATAAAGTGACTAAATTAGTAGACCAGCGAAATGCTGTGGACATGTTATACTTAGATTTCAGTAAGGCATTCGACAAAGTAGACCACAATCTACTTCTTGGTAAGCTACAAAAATGTGAAATAGACAACATCACCACCAGATGAATTTGTAGCTGGCTGACAAACTGTATTCAATGAGTAGTCCTCAATGGTACTACATCTACATGGAAGGAAAGTAAGCAGTGGGTACCACAAGGCTCCGTCTTAGGCCCAGTGCGCTTCAATATCTTCATTAATGACTTAGATGAAGGAATAGAAGGGGAACTCATCAAATTTGCAGATGACACTAAACTGGCAGGAATAGCCAACACCCCAGAAAAGTTCAGGATCCAAAAAGATCTTGACAGACTTGAACAATGGCTCCTATCCAACAACATGAAATTTAATGTGTAAAAAAGCAAAGTTTTACTTTTAGGCAGGAAAAACTAAAGGTACAAGTACAGTTTAGGCGAGATCTGGCTCAAAAACAGTAACTATGAGAGGGACTTTGGAGTCCTAGTGGATGAGCCAGCAGTGCGTAGCAGCAGCCAAAAAAGCTAATACAATCCTTGGTTGTATAAACAAAAGCATAGAATCAAAATCACATGAAGTATTAGTATCGCTTTACAAAACCTTAGTAAGACCTCACCTGGAATACTGCAACCAATTTTGGTCATGTTACTACAAAAAAGATGTTGAGACTTTGGAAAAAGTTCAGAGAAGAACAACTAAGATGATCAAAGGCCTGGAGACTAAAACTTATGAAGAACAGTTGCAGGATTTGGGTTTGGCTAGTCTAGAGAAAAGAAGAACTAGGGGTGACATGATAGCAGTATTCCAATATTTGAGGGGCTGCCACAAAGAAGAGGGGGTCGAATTCTCCAAAGCACCAGAGGGCAGGACAAGAAACAGTGGTTGAAACTAATCAAAGAAAGAAGCAACCTGGAATTAAGGAGAAACTTACTAACAGTGCAAACAACCAGTGAAATAGCTTGCCTTCAGAAATTGTGGGCGCTTCATCACTGGAGGTTTTTAAGAAGAGACTGGGCAGCTGCTTGTCTGAAATCGTATAGGTTCTTCTGCTTGAGCAGGGGTCTGGACTAGAAGACCTTCAAGGCCCCTTTCAGTTCTACGTCTATTCTATTCTCTATATTTTATAATAGTAATAAATTATGTATCAGCCTTTTCCAATACACTCAGTGCTCCTTGGTTCTGCAAATATTAATTGTGCCAGAGAGCAGATAGATACTTTTTAATGTAATAAAATTCTGTAGCCTCCAGAAATCTTCATTATACAGATAAGCATTTAGCTCCATCTATTATATTATAGGAAAGCTATAAAATTATTAAATTGAATAAATTTCAGAGGCCCCCAGGCCAATTATGAAATAATTATAGAGTGATCTAAGAAAACAGAGAGAATAATTGCCATACCTTTGGAGTTATATTGAATATCTTATATAAATAAGATTGGGCCAACTTCATAGCTTTAGTTTTAAAGTTTGATAACCTTATCCATTGTAAAATTCTTGACTGATATCTCAGTTATATCTGTGAAGATTATAGAAAGTATAATTTACAAGAATCTATCCCATAAAATTGGTTATATAAAAGGGTGCCATCCCTCAGATAACATTTTGGCTAATACTAGTTTTGTATCTTCATAAACTTGAATCATCAATTTTAGTTTAATTGGATGGAGAAAAATTCTTTGATATAATGCTAATTAGGTTTTTGATGCAGGTAATGCAGAAATTTAGACTTTTAGCAAAAGTTAATTAATAATAATTCAGTATTCTAATGTTTTGCAAATGATAGAACTACATGTTAAATATTCTGTGTATGTGGTAAAATGAAATAAGTCAAGTATTACATGAATTGGTAAGAAATTCTTGATAGATATATCAACATTATCTCTTGTCCATAATCTGTTAAATACCTGGGGAGTTATTATCCCAGGAAAATATGTTGATTAGGTAAGATTATTTCTGTATCAATAACCAAATGAAAAACAATAGGTAGCTGAAACGATCTAATTTTGTGGGGAAGAAATAACATGGAAAATGATTGTTACATCACTTTTAAATACATTTTGCTAACATTGCTTATGTTTATTCCACTGAAGTATTTTAAACAGCTTGTTAAGTTAATGGTGATTTTTTTCTATGGAAAGAATACGTATGAAACAAGAAGGATTTCTCAGTGTGTTACAGTTTTTGTACAGTGATGGTAGTTTTCATTTTCCTGAACATACATTAAAAAGTTTTGAGGTTGCACCTGATATTTTGAAGCCAATGACCATTGCTGTGGATGCTTCTCCTTAACTTATCCAGTCTTCCTTTTCTTCTGATTCTATCAATTTGGCCAAGAATATTTTTTCCATATGATCCATTTATATGTCCAAAGTATGTGAGTTTCATGTTTTTTATAAATGTTAGTAGTTTTGTTGTAATTTCTGCTGTAGGGTATGTAGGATTTATTTTCATAATACATTGTATGTTCACTAATTTAATAAAAATTAATTGCAATATTGAAAATATGTTTCTATGTTACATAGAGTAGAAATAATAATAAATAATATTTATTATTATTATTACATAGAGTAGAAATCTATTTTTGTTAGATCCCTCAGCAGTAAAATTTTCAAGATACATACTGCCAAGCACATGCATAATAAGTTCATTATCTCTGCCAGTAGATGTCAGTCAAATATATACGGTAGTTTGAAATCCTCTAAATGACTTTGAGTACAAAAGTAAAGTTTTACAAATTATAGGAATATAATTTGCACATTAATGACCAGATTTTCCAGAAATTTATTCAGGCTGGATGTTAGATAAAACAAGAGTTGATACAGTAACAAACTATAATGAGAAAGGATTAAAATACAGCTTAAGTAGGTTAAATTGGCATATAGGAGGTGTCATTTAAACTTAATCTGTTAAATTTCATTTGTTTTTTCCCAACATCAACATTGTTACTTCCAGCATATTAAAGCGGATTTTAAGGAATGCAGTGGAAAAAATTAAAAGGAAAACTTCATTGTATTCCCAATATTTTGCTTGTACAACTCTAGGTTTTGTGTTGTAGGCCAAGAATTATCTTTTAGGTCTGGTAGATATTTGCAATTCTTAAAATGTGGAGAACACTAACAAAATAGCTCTCTAACTGGAAGTAGCTATTCATAAAATAACTGCTACCCAAAGAAAAAGCAGTGTAACTGCTCCATTTCATTCCTTCCAATCTGCCAAGATAAAATCTATCAGATCCATTTGTCCTTTGACCTTTTTCACTGGGCAGAGGGACATATTTCCAAGTAAAGCATAGCACTGCAGCTACACATTATTTTTATTTTTTCAGAATTCCTTTAGGCGGATACATTCTTATAAAGATTGCTAGAGTTTGGTACTTGGCTTATCAGCAAGCATCCTACTCTTACTTAATCTGAAAATAAGGTCATATGGATGCCAGAAGGGTGTCTCAGAGGGCATCATGTTGTCTATTACTGCTGTAGAATTTGTCATAAACATCTGAAGCGTTTGTTTTTATAAATATTCCCAAATGGAATATTTCGAAACATTAGGTTGTTGGATTTCATATTAACCCGGCTTTCATCCACAAAAGTATTAATGGGTCCTGCAGGCACACGGAGTTCTGCTGGGAAGCAGATAAGAAAATTCCAAGGATTGGGTTTTATTACTGGACTGTTCCTAGCCAGTCCTTACTTTGTTCAATAAGGCTTTGTTTGTATGTTATTAAACTCTTATTTAATAATAATAAAAAAACGGCCTTCCCCAAACTTTTAGCCTATAATCTACTACTATAAAAAGTTCTGCACTATAAAAGTAGCATTTTGATATGTAACGTTATCTCAGACTGATAAAGTTTGCAAAATTGCTTTTGTGCTCAGCTTCCTATATGCCAGGAATGCCAAGTGGAATCTCTCCTTTTCCTCCTGGACCACCTCCTAACCCAAGGTAAAATAAATACGCTTGCTCAGTGAGAAACACGGTGATTTGATTATGCTCTGTTGTGCTAATTCTCAGGTGGAATTTTGTTATCCTAGTCTAAGCCTGTGTTTCAAAAATATGTACACTTCCAAATGGACCCATGAAGCTTTTCTTTTTTGAATTAGCGCCTGTTTAATAAATTCAGATTAAATGAATTGTTTAAATGAATTTAGCTTGAGTTTGCTAAATTTTCTTTAGTCAAGAATCTTTTTCAGAAATTAGGTGTTTGCTTGTTCAGAAGCCTGAACGAGATGTATTACTTCGTATCCAGTAGCTCCACCTTCAGAACTTTGCGTATTAGGTAGAAAGTCTGTAGGGAGATCTAAAACCTCATTTGTATATCACACGTAACGTGTTTAAGCAGCAAGCTGGTGATCTACTTGGGTTTGCTAACTCTTTCTGCCATTACTCAGAGACAGAAGATTTCCAAGTCAGTTGTGCACGGTTTTGAAATAGCCTTCGTGTCATCTGCATCCTAAATTAACCTGCAGAACACGATTACACGCTGTGGTTTGTGGTAACTGGACATACAGTGGTGCATCTCATGCTGAGCTGATAATCAATAGTTGATAAGCGATAGATAAATGGTTTGCAAGAAAAGTCAGCAGACAGATAGGCGAGGCATCAATCCCCTTTGAGGAAAGGTAGTCTTAGAGCTCAAATGAACAAGCCATCCTTTCTTTTCCTTCTCTCTCCCATTTTTCTGAAGAAGCTTTCATCACATCCAAGAAAAGTTAGGACAGGTTCCTCTGTCCTAACTTAACTCTTGTAGTTGTTCCAGAAGCCAATATCTCCTTTATGTGTGTTTTCTTATATTTTCACTACAAGCCCAGTCTCTCCAAACCTTCTTGAAGCTTGTATTCAACAGGAATACGTTATTTTCACTGCATCTTCATTTCCACCTTTCATGATTATTGTGTTTTATATGTGATCTATTGATTGTCATTCCCAATATATGCTTTTAACCTTCTTCGGTTGTCTTGATAAGCTTTCAGAACTTGTCTCTGATTTTGGAGGGATGCCAGATTTTCCTTAAACGTGTACGGTTCAGTGTCAGAAGATTTTTGTATGCATGTTGAATTCACATATATGTGATACACTGGTGTCTGTAAAAATGACTGTGCTCTATAAGAGAGCCTTGACCAGGTTCTTACTGCTGTGCCACACTAACATGCAAATGCATATAACAAGAGGGCAAATGAGGTTCCCATATATGAGCGGTTCTCACATGTAGGTCTAGGGCAGGGGTAGGCAACCTTGGCTCTTTTATGACTTGTGGACTTCAACTCCCAGAATTCCTGAGCCAGCCAAGCTGGCTCAGGAATTCTGGGAGTTGAAGTCCACAAGTCATAAAAGAGCCAAGGTTGCCTACCCCTGGTCTAGGGATAGAGTCAGCAGTGGACAATATAGGAAATGACATTGGGAAGTACAAGGCTTTTCCTTTCCTTATGAATTTCTCAAATGTATAAAGGGGATCTGAAATTTATGGCTTTGCAGTAAAACTAGAACATTTTCGTTAGCGATCGTGCTTGATTACACTGCTTAGCCTTCTAATTCAGCAATATCCAAGAACCACAACACATGGCAAATTTAAAAGTATTGTTGAAGGAAGCTAAGGGCTGCATTATTTGCATTCATTTGAATATTCTTTAATTTTAATTATTAACTAATGACTGCACAGTTAGGTGAATTACTAGCGATGTTTTCAGTGTTTACCGTCTTGGCAGAAATCCTGCAACATACTCAGTTTATTGGGTTTTTTTCTCCTGTAGCATTCTTCTGTGTCCTTTTCCGTTAAAAAGTAGTAATTCATTTTAATCGCTTGTATGTGAAATACTGAATGCAAAAAGGCTATGGAAGGTATTGTACAGGAAATGAGACCACAAATTAATGAGAAATATTTATTCAAATTTATTTTCTGAGAGGTATAGGAGCCTGCTTGGTGTCCATGCTATAATTTAAAAGATTACAAAGTTTTCTTTTCACGAAAGTAACAGAGCAGAATGAAAACCGTTAACAATAGACTAAGCCTTGAATAGCTGAGTTTGGTGTCTTCCCTTAAAATGTTTCGAGCACGAGTTTGAAAATGTAATATTAATTTATAAAAATGAAGATAACATGAATTAGTGTTCAGACATACAAGCATTAATGAATTTATCACTAGATTCAATTGTAATCTGATCATAGCTGAATTCATTAAGCTTCAATAATCCTATTTTGTCTTCCCTTTCACTTCCTGATCAAGTGGTTATTCAGGCTACCCTTATCCTACACCTAGTGGGCCATTTCCAGCAACAACTAGCACACCACATTATCCTTCTCAGCCTCCTGTAACCACTGTGGGTGAGTAATTTCAAACGAGCCATTTCAGAGGTGGAAAATGAGATTTGCATCTGCAAATGTACAAACCAAAACACTTACTTTTACAGAGATTGTTAATTTGATTATAGCAACAAAGGAGACTTATGATAAAAGCAATATTTATTTATTTATTTTACTAATTCATATGTCACACGTATTGTTTTTCCTCCAATATTTGATTTACAAAACAATGAATGATTTCTGCTGTTTCACTCATCAAGAGTCTTTATTTTTAATTTATTGCTTTATGTGATAAAATTTGTATGTGCTTGAAACTGTGATCTTAGCAAGTCATAAGTGAATTAAAGTTGAAGAGCAAATAGAACAAAATTACGTAATTGTTTTATTCTCTAATCTTATTCTGGGCAGCTAATCTTAGTTTTGACATTTAGATTTTGGGAAAAGTTTTAACATGCTAACAAATATACCCAGGAATACCCAGAGTGTAATCATTACAATGCAAAAAGTAATGCTGCAGCTAAATACAGCATAGTAAAGAATATAATTACAGATAGACATAGGAAACCTTGACAATTGGTGTTGCTAAAAATATGTTTGAATGTGCTTGAAGTTAAGTATTTTCAATATGTTCTTTGCATTTACAGGCCTCTAGATCTCTATTCTTTATGTATTATTGAACAGATACATCATATTAGAAGTAAAATATCCAGTTTCAGGGTAGATAATAGATGTATGACTATTGTATGTGAAACTTACTTTCTGTCAGATAAAAATTCAGATCAGCTGTTTTTTATTCCCTACGTGACAAAAAAAATCCTTACCTGCATTGGACCAAATACTGCATTTACAGTTAAATCCAGTTTTAAAAAGTCCTAGAAACTTGGAAGCTATGACCACATCTTGGCTTTATCTATTCATCTGTATTGGACTTTGCCTTCCCAATAAGTAAACAAAACCTTGGAAACCCTTGTTTAGAAGGACAGTACAGAAAGTAGCCCAGGACAAGATTCCCTTGTAATGATATTTTGTCCCAACACCATTATGTAAGTTTGAAAAGCCAGAATATATTCATATCCCTTTTTCCTATTCAGCCAAGATTATCAAGGCAGCTAATGCAGAAAAAAGAAAACAATTAAGATTTAATTAAATGCCTAATATTAAAATAATTATAAAATCTTCAAAAGAATAAATCTTAAGCTAGGATAGACAGAACTATGTATGGTGCCCAATACAATTTATTCCATAACTCGGGAGCATCATGGAAAAAGCCCCTCTCCTCTATTCTGAACTCATGTCTCCAAAAAAGGGGGACCTTCTCAAAGATCTTTGGCATGATTGGAGTATTAGTCCAACCCTTGAAATTGTTCAGGTTAATCAGTATCTGCCAGAGCTATTTATTTATAGGATCACCATCTTAATGATAACTTCAGCTTAAAAAGTGGTATATTTTGATACTGGTTTGTAATTAAACAAATCTTTTGGGTTTAGGAATTTTTTTTAAAATTAAAATATCTTGTAATTGCCTCTTTGAAGCAAGAAGATGGTCACTGTGTTTAAGCATGAAGGTAGTCACACCTTGGCTACTTTAACTAGCAGTGGAAATTCTAAAGGGTCAAGATCATCAAGACCTTCACATCTTCAAGATCTACAATGAATAATCAACTTTATCTGCTGCTGCAAATTGTTCATGGTCTACTGTTCCTCTCCACATACTAGAGAAGAAGATGCTCTTCAGTATGGAAAAACAACACCAGCTTATCTGGATCTGGCACAATAAGAATGGAAAAATGTGATTCCTTGGTACCGTCGCTTTACAGAATGCAAATAGGTGCTAGTATCTGCTCAGCCTGAGGTTCCTGAGATTTCTTTATCTGTGTTCAAACTGTCATTCCTTCTGATTCATCATTTTTATTCTCCTACTTAATCAGAAGTCTGTAGGAGAGGGAAGTATTCTTTGCATCAACAGTGTCCACTGCCTGGGATTATTTTGTATTCTACAGATCAAACAGGACCTCTTTTCTTTTTTTTTTGACAAGTCATGCTCAGCGCCTCGGGGAAAAAGCAGATGCATTTATGCAGCCATTCAGATCTGTTAACTGCCTGGAATAGACACTTTTAATCTACAATACCTACAGAGATTCATTATCTTCTATGAACATTTCATACAGACTCTTCAAACCTCATATTACCAACTCTTCTTGAACTGAATGCCAAATCAAGAATGTATCCTGTTCCATGTATGGAATCTGATATTAGCTGGGACAGGTGTTCCCAAATCAGGAAATACTGTGCTGTTTCTTACTGAATGACTTCAGCACATTCACTGAATATTCTTGGGGACCAGAAGCCTGGCAAAATACATAGACGGGTGTACGAGGTAGTTTCAGGGGGTATGAGGTAGTTCAGGAAGAGAATTCTTTGGAGACTCAAAATCATAATGGGCAATCTGTACTCTCCTTACACATTTTTTATTGTTTTAAAGAGGAACTTAAACATTTAGATGTAATTCAGCAAAACAATATTGATCTTCCTTGGAAAAGTTGTAACATGGCTTCATAGATACATAACTATAAGGGATGTAATAAAAAAAATTTTTTTATCCACACTGCTTTCTCAACCACTATCTGCCATACTTGATCTCGATTACCTCTGGCATTCAATTGTTTTCTGTGATTCTGGGCCTTGAAAATTATATTTTGTTCTTATGTTTGTTAATCTTTAAATGTCTTGGGGTGGAAAATCTAGTTCATTATGTCTAGGTTCAATCTATCAGTAATTGGTCACTCTGAATATTGAAAGCTAACAATGTTAACTGCTTTCTCAAGAGCTAAATGTGTACTAGAATTGTCATTTGGCAAAGATATGTCTGAGTTGCTTTGGAAAATATCAATAGATAGGGGGAACGGGGTAAGTGTGCTTTTCTTTTTGTTATTATATAAATTAGATGCAACCATTTATTCTGTAAACTGAATACATCAACGTATTAACAGTTGTTTGAAGTAGTGTTCAAATCAAATTGGCAATATGGAAGGTTTTCATGTATTTATGTCTAACGTTTTGATTGTTTTTACATGGAGCAATACAGAAAACTGCTCTGGGTAGAGTTTTCAGAAAGGGCTTTGACCACAAAGTTTATGAAGGATTAATGTATGTTTATTCTCTTAATAGCAGATGGCAGAAGAAAGCAGAAACAGGTATGGATTTGTGGTCATTCCTATGTTTTCTGGGCAGAAAAACGGGCACTTGACAGAAGCTTTGGTCCACAATTGGGAATTCGACTGGAGGATGCCAAATTACATTGGCTAGGAAAGAGTGGAATGATGTGGGATCAATTAGTACCCACCCTGTTGCATACACGACGGAGGCTAACAGATCCTGATATACTGGTGATCCATCTAGGAGGCAATGACTTGGGGATAACCAGTAATGTGGATGTCATAAACCGAATGAAGAAAGATTTTGGACATCTTAAGCAAATATTCAAGAATAGCATTCTAGTCTGGTCTAATATCATACCCAGGAAAGTATGGAATCAAGAGATACCCCATAAAGTGATGGAGAAAAGCAGGAGAAGAATCAATCAGGAAATTGGCTATTTTATGCAGTATATTGGAGGAACTGTGATCCAGCATGATTTACTTGTACCAGAATCTCCTGGATTGTTCCATCTAGATGGTGTACTCTTATCTCAGAGTGGTACAGATATCTTCAACCTGGATTTACAAAGTGCTTTAGAAACATTGTTTTGATTTTTAATTGGAAGAAAAATGATACCCACAGCTGTGGACTCTTTCTACAAATAGAAAGTTCTGAACAGCATGGTAACGTGAATTGATAAATAACAGACTTAGCCTAAGATTTAGCTTGGTACTGATTACTAATGCAGTTGTCTGTGACATTGCCCTATAATCTGCAAATAATTTTTTGTTAATGTGTTTAACTATTTTTTGCGAATTCAGTTTATTGGTTTTTCATTTATTTTAATTCACTTCTCATGTATGTTGAATGAGACTGCCAAACAAATTTATTCTCAATTGATCCCAATTCCACAAAGCTCTCACTGACTATAGCAAGATTATAACAATCTACAGTATAAGTAACAGTTTACAAAGCTATTTCGTGTGAGTCAGATGGGATTAATTATCAAGTGTTATCACTATTGGGGTAGGAGTTAGTGGTGTCATCTATTGGCAGATGAATGACTTCATAATCCCCACCATATCTACCTGCTTTAAGTTCTCCTGTAGAAGTTTGACAAGCCCTTTTGTGTATGCTTGAGGATCATGCACAAAGAAAGGAAAGAAAGGGAAATCCCATTACGTCAGCTAACGTAGTAATATAGTCCACTGTTAACCAATTCAACATTGCACGTTAGAACATATGTTGCACTTTTCAAACAGTGTGGGATTATTTAAATATAATGAAGATCTAGTTTCTGACACATTGGTTTTTGAAAATACTTTATTTAGTTAAAAATGTAAGCAATTCTGTTTCACAATTGGGAATAGTGGCTGGTTTAAATGTAGTATTCCCAATTTAATACACATAGTTTATTAAGCTAGGAATACTATTTTAGTCCCACACATTCTTCTCCACTTTTATGTCTTTTGTACCAGCTTTGATCCAAATCACAATATCTGTTACTACTGAACTGTGGTATGAAATTGTTTCATTTACTGAGCTCTTAATTAATAATATGCCTTGAACCATATCTATTTTTGGCGTAATGGAAAATTGGTTTAAAAATGAGGACTAAAGAATTGCTTTGGAATTGGGGGAGCAATTGTTCTAGATATGAGAGCTCTTATACTTGTAAGAAGGGTTTAAATGATTCATTTTCCTACTGTATGCAAAATAGTATCATATACTTCTTAGAGCAGTTATGATACTTGTAAAAATGGTATTTTAAATAACAGGGTTTACAAAAATATTGTTGCTATGGTTTTGTTAACTCTGAGTGAATACATCTTTTGTGATAATTAAAATGAAATTATAATTTTTTCCTGTCAATATTCCCACTAAGATAGCAAAGCACTTGAGAGTTTTTTTGTTTGTTGTGCTTGAAGAAAATCTTTATTTGATTCCAAATGCATAAAGGTAGATGTTCTGCTTATCCCAAAGGTATTGTTGAACTGTTTGACAGTAGCTCTATAAGAGAATTATGCCACTTTGTGCTTTGGCATCATTGATCTGAAACAGAATTTGCTTTGAAGGAAGGGAAGTACAATTTTAGAAGTAAGGAAGGAAAATTTAAAATATGGAGATGTGTATTCCCCCCCCCCAAAAAAAAACACCAAAAAACTGACCTATTGTGCAATAACAATTTAGTTATTAAGGAGGAAACAATTTTGCGAAACAAATTAAAAGAAGACTAATTTTGTCTTTCTATACTGAATTCAATTTACACTGCATTTATGTGGTATTGTGACTAACGTTCTTAACAAGCAAGAGGGAATTCAATATTAATCATTTATGTCAATTTCTGAAGTGAAGTCAATTTCTTCCAAGTCTGCTGAGCCTCTAGGAGAGAAACTTTGAAAGCTTCATTCAGAAATGAACTGTATGACTGCCAGTAAGACAACAGGAATAGAATGTAGAAGACCGAGCTATGGAGATTGCATCATTTAAATATTAACTTCATAGAGTGAAACACTTGAGCAGGTTTATTTCATGTAATTTATCTTAAATATCTCTGAAGTTTCCAGCCAGATGAGAATTACACTACCTGTGAGAGCAAATAGGACTGTGTTCAAATGTGAATGGCATGCTTAATTTTTCCCAGTGAGAGTTTAGCAGCACAACTGTTGAAAACAGCAGTTTTCAGACTACCTTTTGTATATTTGCTTGTAAAAGAGCATTTAAGCTCCAGTATTTTGTGAGGATTTATCTTTCATAAACTATTGACATTGGACACCTGTTTGAATTATCTGATTTCTATAATTTGGAGGGTTCTGTTTTAAAAATAATAAAACATTAGCCTTTATTTTCTTGTACTGTGTGATATTAGTGGGCATCTAGTAATAGCCTGCAACTTATTTTTCTCCAAATCCTGTTTTGAGGCCATTAAACGTCATATGCTGACATGGCACTTAGTCTAATATCAGTTATACTGGAAATGGTTGCATTTTTCAATTATGTTGGATACCATGAAAATAAAGCAACCATATGCTATTTCAAAAGCTGAAAGTAAATGTTGGCGCCCGTATTTAGTGGCCATTATTTATGGCTAAATATAATGGCTTTGATTCAAGCTTGCTTTCACCAGGACTTGAAAATGCCTTCCATTTGCATATGGTAGTCTCCTGATTTTTCCTCTCGGAGTATTCATCACTGCTCTCCACTCTTGGGATACATGTTTGCCAAAGTGATTTTGGGTAGGAGGGGCACTGGGCTCTGCAAAGAAGAAGAGATGGGGGTTGATCTGTTTTACAAATACAGTTACTCTTCTTTGGAGAATAATTTGTTAAAATTATTAGAAGTTGGTGTTCCACAGTCACAACTACCGAATATATATTTACATTTGGTTAATCTGTATAAAACCATTGAAACAACTGCAGTGAAGGTGACTGTACATGTCCCAGGATAATATTGCAGGATCCAATCTGGGTCGGTCACCAGGACCAAAGTTTTGGTCCTCTGAGCTTTCAGACCCATGCTGGAGCCCATCTTCAGGGAACTCCTCTCTAGCTCAGAAGACTAAACCTCTGGTCCCGGTGACCGACCCGGATTGGATCCTGCGAACAACTACAGGGTTCATTCTCTCTTTGTGAATAAGCAATACTGCCATCAAGTAAAAGACCTATTATTGCATTTAAATATTAGTGAATAGTTTCTCTGTTCACCACCAATATGATATTCTAAATATCTCAGATTTCAATAATACACATATGTTTGGCAGATAATTACCTACCGCAGTATGCCTAGTAACGTGTTTCATAGGATTTCCTTGGTGAGCAGACTTCCATACAAACGCCACCATTTTAGTTCACTGTAGCACTACTGAGAAACTGGTTTGTACTAGTATTATTTTTTTAAAAGATTTCTGTGTCCTTTATATAAAAGAAAATGTGATTGTTATATATTGTCCAGGTTCCTAACCTCACAGGACAACTACTTTTATATTCTACACTGATAATGTCTCCTTGCATTGGATGGCTCTTGTACTTCATAATTTGAAGGAGCTAAATTGGTGATGGGATGAAAGGAAGAGATGCTGTATTAGTAGTATAGCACATGTTGTGCATGCGTAACGGAATCCGTTTCTGGGATTTCTAGTTCAGTGTAGCAGGTAGTAGAGTCGGACTACAGTCTGATAGTTCAAAGAGCCTCTTCCAGGCAATCTGGTCAATGCTGGGATAGATGGAGAAGTGGTTGGGCTTGTCACTGTTTCTTTGTGTTCCGAAATCTCATCTATAAAGAGATCACATGTAGAGCTTTTGGTTCAGCCCAGGTGAAAACTTTAAAAATAAAAACCACTGTTTCAAGCTTCAAATAGGTCATTTTGAACTTGGAACAGTTTGGATTTGAAATGTTTTGTGTTATTGATGAAGTTCTTTTAAGTTTTTATTTGAAAGAGGGTGAAGAATAAACTTGGTGGCATTCTGGGATAGATGATGGTATTTAGCTGAAATAAATATTCATATTCCACAAATAGTTTATTTTTAAAATGTAAGATGATTTTTCATTTGCTAAGAAATTTTGGCAGATGTGGCAGGCAAGATTGTTGTTTAGTCTTCAGTTTAAGATCACCTTCTTATTAGCTAAATCCAGTAAATATTTTATATCTCCCAAATAGTTTTCTCTCTAAGAGATGAGTTTTATAAATACTTGAGCTCTTCTGGGCAGGTTAGGAGAAGGTGAAGCAGAAGTCAAGATACTGGGTTTTTTTCCAGAAAATAATTCCCATTAAAAGAAATATAATTGTTCCTATATATATTTTTTTAGCAAACAAGCAAATAAAAACTTTACTCACCATAATGCTTTATGTGTTTCCACAGATCAGTTTTGTAGACTGAAAATGCTGTATATGACAGTGGCTGTTAATTTGGATTTATAGATGTTCTCCCTTTCTTAAGGACCAAGGACATTTCAGGCCAGAGCAAATTAATGAAGGAATCAATAGTGATGGTTTGTTGTCAGTCTTCTTCCTTTTAGATTAGAAAGGTGACTTTATTGTAACAAGAGAGTCTTAAGACTATTTCATTCTGAACTTGAATTGAGGAAAGACTTAGCACGTACATTCTTTGGAAGTCAGCAAGTCACCTGTTCAGCAATTCCTGTCTAGATTTATAACTTTAAATGTATTTCACTCTCTTACATAGAATTTCTGCTGTGGATAGCAATTTAATCTATTTAGATTAAATTAAGAAAATAATCGACTGGTGTTAATATTTCAAGAGAAAAAAATCTGTCTTATGAGTGATACATATTCATATTCTATTAAATGTCAGTTTATTCAGCAGCCAAGTTCAGTGTTGGAGGCTGTTTTTCTTTCTGGCTTAATTTGTAGTCTATATAGTCTGTAAGGTCACAGTACCTTAAGGTCACTTCTGAAACCAGATTCCATATGGTAAAGGTTAAATGTTTCAAGTATTCCTTGTAATAAATGGCTGTGTGCCACAGTATCTTCTTAGTGTGTGGCTAATTATGGAAGAAGGAAGGAGAAAATGTTAAGACTCATATTCTTAAAGGAGTAAACCAAAACATTTTTTTTCTTGTTTGGAATATATAATTTTCCTTGGATCTTTGCACTTTCAACCCTTTTTTTAGACATATAAATTACTTCACACACACAAACACACATATAATTTTATATATGATAATTTTTCTGGCCTTCAATCTGAGTTGTATGCAAGGGCTTCATAGATATGCAATTGTGACTAAAACTTAAATTTGTTTTTGTCCTGACAGCATAGAGATTGCATAGTATGCTATAGTTTGAGGTGGTAACTGTCTTAAGCTAAAAGGCTGACATTCTCTGACGAGAATTGCTTTTTCATCAGGATGGACGAGAGGAAAATCTGTGAGAGAAAATTCTGACACGCAAGTTTATGTTGTTTAGCGGTAAAAATAGTGTAATGCAGTTGCTGGGGACAGAAAGTTACTGTGTGTATGTTGGGGGGAAGAGAAATCAGAACCATATGCTGTAAATAAGAGTTGGAATGGTTCTTGCACAGAACAGCCATGTCTTCTCCAAACTGGTGTGGAGACCTGAAAACAGATGTGCCTGCTTTGATGTGATATTGTATTCAGGCTCCTGCACATTCCAAAACACTTCCTCCAAATGACAGTACGGTTGAAGCATTTTGTTTGCTACAGGGCTTTTTGGGTAGTGAATTTATTCTCAGTAATGAGAATAAATTAGGATATTTACAGACTTCATTGCTTGGGATATTTGGATTTATTTTGCTACCTGTCTATTTTGCTGTCTGTCTGAAAGCATTTTTGGCTGTTCTCTCTGAAACATAATTCTGCTTGTTACAGACTTTGGTGATGTATATAGTTTTTGAGAGTAGAAATTACATCCTAGATTTACTGGCTTTTTTGTTTTTGTTTCTCTTAGGTAGCTTAGGTTTCTGTTAGGTAGCTTAACTGAGAAATATAAAAGCGATTAAGCAATACCTTAATTTATTCTGTTGCATTTATTGGCAAAATGTGGATATTGTACAAAGAGAGATGTTAGTCTCTGGTGACAAAATATTAGGAACCTAGTGGAACCTTTTCTGGCGGAAAAGTACCGTATTTTCCGGCGTATAAGACGACTGGGCGTATAAGACGACCCCCAACCTTTCCAGTTAAAAAATAGAGTTTGAGCGAGAGAGAGGGGGGGAGAGAAAACTTGATGAGTAATATGCCAAACCACATGTGTAAAGGAATAAAATAGAATACCCGTATTTTCCGGCGTATAAGACGACTGGGCGTATAAGACGACCCCCGACTTTTGAGAAGATTTTCAGGGTTTAGATTAGAAATTCGTCTTATACGCCGGAAAATACGGTATTTATTGAAAGGCAGAAGTTTTTATGAGCTACAACTCACTTCATAGGAGTATTATGTCTGTTTGTATTTATTCTAGTTTTGGTACATCTCATGAATTTGCGTTCCATCTGGCTGAACTTGATGCTTGTTGTTATCAGTAAAACTGGATCAATTTCCAGGAGGAATTATTAAAAGAAAGAAACAGAACAACAGAACTCCGCTGGTTGTTACCTACAACTCACACCTCAAACCACTCCAATGCATTAGCAATAAGCTACA